TCAGATGGCAAAAAGGTGCTGCAGTAGTTGTCAATATTATTTAAGCTGCAATAGGCATTTACCAGGGTCACCATAAAGCGAAACTGTACTTGAGAAAATACTCGCATCCTCACTAATTGAAAAAACATTGATTTGTCCTATTTGTCCAGATGATTTTCTATTTCTTAGCAACCAGACCTCTGGCCAAAGAAAAAAGGACTAACCAGTAGCTCCTTTTGTTTTCCTTTTAGTTTTTCTATAAAGCACCTGAAATGGTAAATATCTTTGTAGTGTATTAATGTCATCTTACAAATTCTGTAAAGGAAGTTATACATTGATTTATACCCAGGTATAATTAGGAACCATCTAGAAACACAGCGAGTATGTTTTTACTCTTAAAATGCATACGTGTTACTATAAATAAATTTAAAAAAGGGATGCATCAAAGCAATCCATAAAAATGATCCTGGTAGTATTTTTTGACAATGAACATTGTTTATTTATGAAAAAGTACAGCTGTTCTATCACTCAATCTCCTGCCATCTCAATTACACTCAGTACTTAGTCTTGTCAGATTTAGCCATCCAGTCTTTTTAATGATGACTTCCAGCTCCTCTTTAGAATTTACTGAGAGCTTTGATGTGAGTTGCCACCTTAGATTGCATTCAAGCACCTGTCACATTTCCACATTCGAAAGAGGGAAAATGGTGAGACATACAGAGAAAGAGACCAGCAGGTGTGTGCTAAGCCTAGTGGTGTAGAAATATACTGTAGCCAGGCACAAGCCAGAGAACAGATACTGGCAGCCATCGACAGAGATGTTGTTATCATTATTGGCAAGTGCTACTCCTCAACCAGAAATCCCACTTTTATTTGGCCAGGGTTTGGGAGAAACTGTGGAACTGATGCAGAATTGATCAAAACGTCCCTATGGCTTCCTCATCTAAAGGATATTTCATTGATCTGCCAAAGTCCTTTTCTATAATTGCTTCAGTGAAGTGTAGGAACAGCAGTTTCAGGTGAGTAGGTATCAGAGGAAAGAGCACAACTTGGACAATTTACAGATCCTTGAAGTATAAAGACCACCTCATTCCACAAGCACCCAGCCCAAACTCCATCCTTTACAACTGCATCGACAAACACAGTGATCTACTGAAAGAAAAAGAAAGTGATTACCATAGTCAGTAGCATCCAGATTATATACAACTTCCTTTGCAAAGTTTTTTTTTCTTCCCAAAACCATCATCAAATTATTCATTCTGATACAGCTGTAAAACAGTCAAATCTTGTTAATCCATGTTATCGGCTCATCTCTCTGTACCTAGATGTATGTATGCAGGCTTATCTGGCATTAGGTTCTATGATACTAGACTGCCACCTAGTGAATGCTCTTGAAAGGTCACCTGTTTCCACATGAGAAGCAACTGATACAGTAGATAGATGCAGCTGATTTAAGCAAGGTCTATGAGCTTGTCTTGCACAGACCGTTTCGATGGCAACACATTTAGCAGTAAAACAGAAAATGAATTGTAGACTTGTAAAAATCATAAAGCAATCTAAACCATTTCATTTGGCTGCAACATGAAAAAAGCAGAACAAGGGAAATTTCTGAGGACTGGAAACTATTCAGAGTGGAAGCTCTGTCACCTGAGTAATCAAAATATAAGTAAATACAAACTGAAGAGGCTGAAATCTTTATTTAATGAGCAGGATGATGTATCAACATCAGTTATAACTGCAGTGTACCCATCTGTCGTCATCAATGTTTTTCTCCATTTTTACTTTCTTCCTTTCTCCATCCTTCCAAGAAAAAGGCAAAACCCACACTTTCCATTTGTTGAATGCAGGGCAAGCGGAAGAGTTGTCTAGTGTAAAAAGCAGAGGCAGTGGCTGTTGTTAAGCCTTCAGAGAAACTGAAATTACCCAGCATTGCTTTTATTAGGTACATAAACCACTGTGAGTTAGCTTCCTGATCTTTCTGACAGATTCATAACAACTGTCATAACAAAAACGAGGGGTCATCAGATATATACGTAAAAGAAACTAAGTACAGGAACATGACAAAGGAAGAATATTTGAAAAGTCAGAGTCCCTTTGTTCACAAGTAAAAGAACTGTTACCCTTCCACTAAAGTACAACATTTGATCTGGTCTCAGAACAGAAAATTCATATCTAGTTTACACAAACTGGGATAGTTAGTCCAACTTTTTTTGTATCTAAAAGAGCCAGAAAATGAAAAAGCAAAAGATATATAAGTGAGACATTGTGAGGATTTTTGTTTCCAGCCCATCACTGCCACTTGGCTGTGTGATGTAGTGTTTTGTGGCCAACATTTGAGCTTAACTTGACAGGAACTGAAAGAAAGAAAAAGAATGTGAATGTAAGAAATCAAACCATTTTCAGTTAGTTTTCAGGAACTTAGACAATTTTATGTCTCTTATTCATCATCAGATTGGATCATTTTTATCAGAGCGCACATTATGTCTCCCAAATATGCAGATGGAGGTCCCTATCTTGTAGAACTGAGTAATGACTAGCCTGGGTAAGTATTGTTAAGGGACTGGTACAGCAAACCCAATGAATTGCACAGCAGGGGCTAATTGAGAGAGAGATACTGAGGCATGATTGTTGCATTCTCTGGAGATGGTTTTGTCTGAGGCCAGGCGAAGGGGAACATCGCCTTATCTTTGCTGTGATTATCATGCGTCAAAAGCAGATTACATTCAGAAGTATTACTAGGTTACAGATAGGCCTATTATTTATTAAAAAGCAACATTGCCTGGCAACTGGATTACCCTTAAAATTAATCAGACTTCTTGTTCATTCACAAGTCATTTCAGATTCTAAAATAGCTCTCAATAATAGATGAACCACAGAACAACAGAAAAAGAGAGAAAATAACAGTTAACTGTCATGCTGGTTCTGGTTTTTAATGATGAGCCACAGTGATGGGTTATTTTTGCAGGCTTAAATCAATTAAAGCTTTTTAAGGGATGGATTAACCAGCATGTTACTGTAAGCATATATTCTGGCAATCTATTGAACAATGGCATTTGTATAGCCATAATTTAATGAACATCTGGGTTTCAGAGGATGCCTAATGATTTCACATCCCTCTTCCTCTAAATGGCTAAAGTGCACGCAATTACGTTCTTAATTAGCTGTGAATATGTTTCTGTCAATTGGAGTGATTCATCTTTCACACATGAAATGGATCACATGATTTTAGAATTGGTTCTCATGTTGGGACAAGTCTTCTGGGTTAAAAGTTCTGCCATAAAATCACAGGTCTTGCTGGAAAAAAAAACTTTAATAATTCTTGATATTGCTTTGTTCCCCCCTGTGCAACAGGAGACAGGTGAATTATGTTAAAGCAATATTCATTCTCTCCCAAATCACAACATAAAAAATTTAATGACAGAACACAGACACATGTAATCATTGGACTTCCCAGCCCAGCCATTAAACCCCGGCTGTCTGCCGACGCAAATCAAGAGAATCTCCAGGTCCCTATTGAATACTGTTTGACACTTTCCAGTCTCGGAGACCTTTCGGACTCCTCAATGTGGTGCTGACAGTCATTTTTTCTGGCCCAATCACTAATTCCTCATTAGAAATGATGAGCTTCTTCATCACCTCTCTTTGGAAAAGGTTAGGCCTGGGTCCAGAGGAGAGGTAGGGAGTCCTTCACTCCAGACCAGACAGAATGCTTCATAGGCCTGCAACTATTGATTGGGGGCTTCAGGTTACCTTTCCACCAATGTAGGGGTCTGCACTGCAGCATACTAAGCTGATGTGTAATCAATGATTCATACCACAGCCGGCCTCTGTGCACAGACCCGTCAAATTATACAGTAGCCATCCAATATCTGACATAGTGTGTTTTAAAAACTGCCTTCCGGAAGAATGACACACAGTACACACACATGCACACACCACTGCAAACAGGTAAATACACTTTGGATGGTACACAAGCTGAACAGTATACAAGGATGTGCATACATATGCAAAACCTTGCACTCTCTCACAAACAACTCACATACTCTACCTCTCACACACGCAGACCATCAGACATACACAAATAAACACTGGGTCCTGCAGGGCTACTTTGATTTCTTTCCCTCTGTCCAGATGAAATGTTTATCATCTCAAATACTCTGCAAAAAATATACAAGTTATAAAACTCAATCCTTCTACAAACGGCTGCCTTTGGAGTCGAGCGAGCGCCAGCTGCAAGACGTGGCCTATCTGTGCACTTGGCCGGGTAGCGGCTCCAATGTGCCCTCCTCCTCCTCTCCATGGCGCTTAATGATATGCACAAGCACACTCCAGGGCCAGCTTCCCAGAGCATTTAATCCACAGAGATATGATACTATGCTGGATGTTGTGTCATCCATCACAATCTCTCTCCTCTCTTCCTTTTCTTTCTCCCTCTCTCCTTCTATACCATCATACTGTTCTCACAATGTTTGATTAGGTCCTTTGTTATCTATTTATCTGTCTAACTGTCTGTCTCATCCATCTACTTTTAAGTGATGGAGTACTCCTACTGCTTTCAAAGTTTAAATTAAAGACTTTGCCACACAGTATTGTTGTTTTTACTTTACCTCGGTCTAAGTCGGTGCTAAGTCTTCATTGCTGTGATGTTACCGACGTAAGCTCCCTGGAGATATTTTCTCAGTCAAACAATGTGTATAGTTCTGTTGCATCTTTTTACTTTGATATGCTATTTATAAAAGGTGAGGGTCTGTATGTGGTGTTCTTTTCTTTGTCTGCTCAACCTTGATGGGCCTCGCAGCTCATTACAACAACTTTTTCTTCTGGTCTTTTCCTAATAAATGTTGCTGATAATGGAGACGAAAAGCAGCACTTTCTATGCACCAAAGGATTTTTCTCCCCCCTTTGGAGAAGTGATGTTTGGAGCACAACATGAAAAAGCTTTCATATTATCTATTATTATGTACTGATAAGAGTATCAAAACACAAATTAAAATTTAGAAAAATGTCACAGATTATTGTTTTAGGGTGATGTAAAAGCTCTCAGCTATAAATCACAAAAAGTGCATTAGTGTTTCACTGCAAAAATATTTTTGCATTTATCAATATAAGTTCTCCAGATCAATATAGTTAAGTCAACACATGTCCATCAATACAATCCTTTATCCATTACATGGTCCATTACACCGTCCCTACAGCTTCCCGACAAGCCATTAGGTAACAAAATCTCGCAAAAGAAACACAATCTTTCACATTGCAGGGCGGTCAGTTTGGAGCCTTCATCATTGTGTGTTGGCCCACCTTCCTTTGGGTTTTTACTGCATTGTATGGATGATAAATGGATAGCCATTAGTAGTGTATTAATTACATATAAAAAGTACTATTTTCATCAACCAAGCAATTTTTCCCTCCACTTGTCAAGTGTAATTTGATAATACAATGAACAAAACCTGTAAAGCCTGTTCTGTTCTGATCTCTGCTGTGCGGTGTTGACAGACTGCCACACTGAATGTATCTGCCTCTTGTTTCTTCCACAGAGGCGCACCACCGGGCCACCCTGCTGAGCAAAGGTTCACAAAAACACCTCGAATAGAACAGAAGCAAATTATCATGTCAAGATATATTAATTGCAAAGATCGTTGAAAGACTAATGATTACCACTGTCAGAATGCATAGATGCACAGACGCAGCAGTCTAACCGCATTTTAGTGGGCATCATATACAATTATCTGTTGTTCTCAGCAAGAATGAATGTCAAAGGAGTAGCACATCGAAATCTAAAACCCACAAATGACTAGGAAGTGTAGACTTTAAACTCTGATTATAGAATAATGGGACACTGGTGGGGAAGTAGTTCTGAGCTCTTTTATATTCAGTTCCATTACTCATAAAATGATTTAGGACTTACAATACCATACCCTCTTTTTGGAGCATATAGTACAGTATTGTACATCATTTGGTACAGAATATAGTTTCTGCAAACACTGGTACCAAGTCTGTAACAAGGAAACAAAAGACAATTACATTCTAAAATGTTTTACTTTGTATATGTAGACAAAAAAATTCAGTAATGGAAAGTAACTAAGTACATTTACTCAAGTACTTGAGCACAATTTTGAGATATCTGTATTTTCATTCTCTGCTACTTCATACTTCAATTTCACTACATTTTTGTGGCTATTACTGTACTTTTTATTCAACTATAACTTTAGTTACTAGCTACTTTTCAGAACCAGATAAATACAAAAAAAAGTTTGATTCAACACAAGAAAGGAATGTACCTAATATTTTATACAAAGTATGACCTCATATTTAAAATATTTAACTGAATAGATTTAAATAACACTGACATTTGTGTTATTTTGTAGCATTAATAACTGCATTATTTCTATTCAGTACACAGACAAATGCATCATTTCTATAAATATGGTTACATTTAGTCTTGTTGTATGACCAGCTTTGCTGAATGGTAAGCAGAATATTGGATTGTCTCTGCTGGGGTATGAGCAACACTGGTGTAGGCCCTAAGGCATGGGTATGACAACAGAGGTAAGAACAAACATTTTACCTCCTCTGAGCCTCTGCACTGCATCCTTGGCCAGTTTAGTGCGTACAGGGCCCCCTGCGAATTCACTGTGTGATACCATTGACACAGATTATGGATTTTACCTGCTTAAAAATATGCTATGTGGGAGCATGGAAATGTCAGGGAAGGCACCCAGGCTCAGAGATTTACTGGGAATTTATAGATCACCAAATACTGCTCTCTAAGGAGAAGGAGAGGGAAGGTCCTTGCAAGAGGCTCGTCAGAATGCAACCACTGTTTCGCATTTCACCCCGAGCAAGAACCGATATCTGGCAAATTTGCATGTACATGTATTTGCACAGATCCAATCAAACGTCAAGGTGCCAACACAATTCCAAGGATTCAAAGCAGAATACCAACCAGTGATTCAGCTGTAACTAATACCCACAGCCCAAGGAAGTGGAGGGGGAGTGCGCTTTATCTTTGGAACAGATAACATTTAAACCACAGTGGAGCTTTAAGCAGATGGCATATATAGCAGCATAGGTCAGGTCACTTGTTCTTGTTACAGCTGGAATGTGTCAAGCAAGCACAATGGATTACGGGCGGACAAGCTATTCTGTCATGTGCCATTCAAGCCAACAGGGCATCTGTTCATGCACAGTGTTAAATAATTAATTACTTGTAGAAAACATCACATTTCTGCACATTATATGCCTGATAAACAGGATCTTAACACATTTTCATGGCAGATGTGTGAGCAATTTGGGATCAAATCAAGGTTAGCTGGTGAAGCCTATGGTCTTAGTGAGATAAGAAGTTACATCAACACTTCTACATGTGAATATCTGCGCAGAAAATATCAAACCCCTGTACTGCTTGTTTTGTCGAAGGCTTCTTTCTGGGATTTTCTGGCAGTACATCACTAGTCAGTGACCACATACTGTAAAACCGAAATACTCTTGTTAAAATCACATAAAATCAAAGTGTAATGATTGTTCAAAAACCCTTTCCCCAGAAATACAGTTAATGAAAGTGGAGAAACACAGTGCAGGAAGGGAAATGGAACAGAGGTGAGTGAAAGAATATATTAAACTCTGAATGGAGAGATAAAGGAAAAACATTCCTCATTCGCAGCCTTCAGAATGTGTTATTAGGGAATGATTTCAACAGGCTCTTAGTAGCTCTCATTAGATGGTGTATCAAACCAGAACAAAACTCACTTCTCCTAACTATGTGGAGGAAGTGGATTGGAAAATTAAATGGGGAGAGGAGAGTGAGGGAGCAGTCTCTGCCACGCTCTTGTCATCGTGCCCCTGCTCCCACTAACAAGTCAGTTCAGTGGACTTGCACTGAAAGTCATTCACATGCTCTTTAATTTCACTTCATTGATTGGAATTTAAAGCCCTGGCATACAGCAAGTAAGACATTAAGATTATCTATTCCCAAACCATGCACTGAACATTTGTTTTTAAATTGAGGTACAGTATGGTTGAAACCTTGTCTTTTGACTTTATAGCCCTAAAACTTAAGAAACTTTACAAACTGAGCTTGCAATCATTGTTGGGTACTACACAAGAGCCTGCCATTTTTAAAGTAATATATATTTATATACTGCATCCTGTAGATCAATAAAAGTAACATTTCATTAACCCTGACATGCTGTTCTTGCTTGGTGCCAGATGCTGGGGACACAAGATGTCGAAACAATAGACATGCTCTCAGTGCTTGCTTTCCCCTGTCCTGTTTTTCTTTGTTTCCCATTCCAAAGACAGCATTACATCTGTCTGCATGATATGATTTACATAAACATCAAACTATTCTTCTGAGTATCTGTCAAGGAAACTCTTGAGTCTTGCACAATATTAGCATTTCAAGGCTGCATTTACACTATGTCCATATCTATTTTGCATATATTAGTGTTTTTAGTTTACAGTTATATGGTTAGTTATGTACCTGGCCAAAACCAAAGTGTTGAGATTATAAGCAGGGAATTACTTAAATAGCAATAACTCAATTTTCAGTCTGCGAACCAAACAAACACCACAGTAAATTCAAGTCAGAAACCATCCATAACTTGGCATCTTGCATGGTAAGATGCAGGCAAAACATTCCATTCATGCAGTATACAGCTGCTGATAAGAAAATCAATTGAGAAAATAAATATAAGCAGTATTCCAATTCACTTCACTCAGCAACTGCATGCAATCACATCTTAAAATGGAAATTGCACCTTGGACAACTGCATGACCATTTTATGGATTACTTTGCCACTGATTGTATATCACTCATGTAACCTGACAGTTTCTGCATGATTGGAACTGCTATTAACAACAACAACTGTATGGAAATTCATGTTTGTCGACAGTATGTATTTTCGAGTGTACTCGTGTGTTGGTTCCATGTAGACGCATGTATGCTTGTTTAAATGGCTGCGTCTGGTGAGCACACAGTGTCATTTGAAAGTGACAAAAGTGGCACTCTAGATGCCATTTGCATGATTAGTTGTTATTTTTAAATGAGGCTGAGCGCTGGCCTGGAATTACAGCTGTACAGAGAAAAGCGAATGACCAGCCTGACGGGTTTTTTAACACCTACAAGAAGAAGAAAAGCTGAATAACACAACTTGCTTTTCTGTCATATGCTAACAGCGAAACTCTGCCTATTTTAGAAATCTTGGTTGTTCTGGCTATTGTCATCTACTGTATATCTACCTCAGTATTCATAAACATTTCTTTTGTTTTGTACTGTTGTGCAAGCAACACATGCTCAAAGATAAATGCATGTACACACAATGCAAATACCTCAGCTAAATCCCCCCACTCCCTTTTTTTCCTGCATTCACTAAAAAAACTTGTATTGCTCAAGGTTAGAGGACTTGCACATCAGATGAGTAATAGCTAAGACCTGAACAGACCTCCTGTTGGACAAGCAATATGCAGTCTCCTGAACATACAGTATATCTTAAACATTACACTTCAAGTAATATATACATCAATATTACCTATATGTGGTATTTTATTTTTTTCAAGTGTAAGGATCAATACTCTATGAATTTTTAAGCACATCTTAGCTTCGGGGATAGCCTGTGACATTGACAATCTCATTTGTGCCTTCAGCCCTTCCAAAACTCTCAACTACATCTGAAGTGCCAAACCTATCTTGACAAGACAGCGCCAAGAGATCCTTGGTGTCCCCAGGAATATCAGAATTATGATGTGAAAAGGACATGTAAGACATTGTTTTGTTTTTTGTATTTTTAATGGCCCATCTTTTTCCTGACTTTGTTGCCGCCTTAAGTCAAATTGCATTCTGTGGACATTCTTCATGGCACCATTGTATTCTTTGTAAAAATTCCTTCAGCCCTGTGCTGTGTCCAGACTAATATTTCAGTGCCGGTGATGGATCTGTAAAAAAGGGCAAAGCTCTTTTGTCACTAATAGGAAAATGGTATAACAGAAGGGTAGATTCAATTTTACATTGTTCCATTTTAGTTAAATGAGAAGTGAACAGTGAATAATAATCAATTGCAGGTTGAATAGGGTAGGATTTCAATAACAGACTTGAGGTTAACTCTTTTCTTGGCTCCTTCCCATGGCTGACCACAGCACATATGACTTAAAATAAAGTTTAGGTGATGTAACAGTTCAGAGATAGCAACGGGTATCCCTGTGATGTATTTTTGACTAACTTGCACAGACCACATAATTGGCTGCTTTGCATTTTATGTTTGACTTTTTTTTTTATTTTGAGCTTACATCCTCAGCAGGGTTTTTTTTAAATGCTGAACATGTGCAGAGAACACAGCTCTCAACTCTACACATTGCATTAGCTATGGTGGAAGTGTTCAACACAGCAGTGTGACCTTTGATAATTCATACTGAACTGACGTGTTCTGAAAAATGCAACAAGAAATGAGACTTTAGATTGTTATAAATCATTAAGTGAGTATAAAACACATTTTAAGATATGACATTTTTCCATACCAAAATGAAATCATTACAGCATTTTTCATCAAAGGAAAATGTCAAAAAAAAAATCCCATTTTTCAAGCACAAATGTATTAAATGTGTAGTTCTAATGTGGCTTCATCTCAATAAATTCTGTGTAAATGTAAAAAAGACATTGTTAAGTTAATTAAAAACTATAATTCGTTGTTGCAATATTTTATGAAAAACACCTCAGGGTTTCTCCAGGCACTGGTGGGTGAACTTGTCCATTTTGTTTGAATTAAGGCCAAGAGCTTTTTGCCCCTGATTTCAAAAGCCATGGGGCAGGAGCTTGAGATGAGTGCTTTAAATATTTCTGATGTTTTGCACAAGTTAAGAGTTAAGTTCCAGCACAGCAGGGTTCTGAATACGAATAATTTTGCTTTGATATGGTTTTGGTGGCATTTAAAGAAAACATCCACACAGTAAGGCTGCTTTTTTGGTGCTAGAGAAGAACATTCCGAGAGGCTGAGGAACTTAATCTGGAAAAGCCTGTACACCTTGTTTTTTGAAAGCTTTTTTTACACCAAATTCGAACAAAATCGGGCTCAGCGTACACTGAACATTACTGAACAGATGTCTGACACTGAAAGAAAATCAATCTGAAATGTTATGGTATGCTATAAAAATGCCAGTTGCCATCCGTTTTGGAGGACAAATGAACCTCAGGAAACAATATGCATTAATTATAATTTATATACAATTAAAGCATGACAAACTACAAGTGTTGTCTCTTAATAAAGATTACAAAAGACTTTTTTTTTTAGAAATCTGTCTTCTTCTGTGTTGATTACAAACCTGATTTAATGGTCCTGTCAAGACACGAGGCATTTCTTTACCTTTTTAAGGATATGCAATTACATTATGTACATTATATTGATTATTATATCATTATATGTATTAAATGCCTTAGGTATGTAGAGCATTTTGATTTGATTGCTTTCAACTCATGATAAACATGTGGTGCAGACCAATATGATAATTTAAAGTCATTAGGCCCTGTCCCAGTTTTGACTGATAAAATCCAATTTGTCAATAACAAATTAATTAACTACTTAATTAATGAATCTGGGTTTCATTACAAAAAAAAATCTATTTTGGAGATGGCTGTCAATGAGCTCAGTCAAGGGGTCCCATCTTCCATCTATAGTTCATTACTTTGATTTGGGACACAGGACTGCATTAATAGGTTCCATCTTTCAGAATTTGATGCAGTCTGTATTTTCTGTGACACATGATTTCTGGTCCTTATCATCAGCATAACCTTTCGTACGCTTCCTTGGCAGAGAGAGGTAATACATGTTAGGATGGGATGGACAATAATCCCTGTGGATACAGTGACTCTACATTGGCAAAAGGACAATAGTAATGATATTCACTTAATCTCCCTGGACAGATTCAGGACATGCTTTTCATTAACATAAAAGTGAATAAGAGAGCAATAAGCAGTGTTTCAGAGTTTACCTAAATCCTTGAAAGCTAACTGAGATTCACATTCTGGTGTCGGCTGTCTCTGTCTTCCTGGCCTTAAGCCAATGCAGGTACCATATTTACAGAGCTCCTTGTCATAGTTTTATGGCTGTATTTTTCAAAGTGCGACTATAAAAAATAGCAGGGATAGAGTTAATTTCAGCACCAATTAGTCAAAACATTAAAACCACTTGGTTAATACTGTGTAGGTTCCCGTCAAGATGGAAATACGGCTCTGACCTATCGAGGCATGGACTCCAGAAAACCTCCATAATTCTGTTATCTGACACCAAGACATTGAGATCAAATTCTTTAGTCCTGTATGTTGTGAGGTGGGGCCTCCATGGACCAGACTTATTTTTCCAGCATATCTCACGATGCTCGATCAGACTGAGGAATTCAGAGGCCAAGGCAACACCTAGAACAGATTCTCTCATGAAGTATTAACATGGGAGTCCAGCCTCCATCTACCTCATCACAATCACTCTTTTGTATCCAAGGTAACTTACCGTATGCTTGTTATTTATTTACTTTTATATTACATATTACTTTTAGTAATATACATTTACAATTCAAATGGCACATAGTGGAAGTGACCAAAACTTTTTTGGGGGTAGATGCAACAACTCTCCTAGGACACCAACAAACTCAGAGCCAGTAATGAACATTAGCACAGGCTGCCATCTTGAGTTGTCCAATAATGTGAATGATTACAAGAATGGAATCTTTTCCATTACCCATACTGACTCTTTTATTCAAATACTGACAAAGTTATTAAGATTAAACAGCAAGTAAAAATCCACAGAATCAGCGAATACCTACCGTAAAACTTACCTGCATCCAGAGTTACTAAGATGAGACAAATGGATGAAAGAAAATGTTGCACCTCAATATTGCACTGTAATAAGTGCTTCAAAACAAGGGTTACTGTAAAAACCTTACTGTTAAAGAGGCTGTAACCGTCCCTATTTCAATTCATGTTTCCTAGCATGCTTAATATCTTCATAAAAATGTCTCTTTTATCTAACTATAAGTGTTAAATCCTTCAGCATTATAAACATATTGTGATAAAAACAATCATGAGCTGATGATCCTATCAGATTACAATCCTATTCAGACTCATTAAAACATACAGGTTCCAGTCTATAAAGCACATCTACTTGGTAGACAGCATTCTTCGCTGTCTGAAAAAGATGCATCAAACTGTGCTGTCAATCATTTTTGTTAAGAACAGGTGTTTTTCAAACACTGGCTGGATCATCTTATCAAGAAACATCACTTCTTGACGTTTGGAAGAAGGTTAATCAGAAGAATCTCAATATGCCAATTTCTCTCTTTTTACATGAAGTCAAACTGTGTCAGTAGAATTTCCATTCAGATTGCAAAGGAGGTAAGAAGAGGGAGGATAGCACTTATTTTTCTTTTTAATTAGCTTCATTTGAGGAATTATCCAGCACTAATATAATGGCTCGATTCGTCTCCCACACCATCTGGTGTGAGAGTGGCGTACCTCTGGAGCTGATTGCTTTCCCCCGGTGCTGTGTCGGGGTAATAGGCTGTTCAAAGGCTGGTCTGGACTCGGACAGCTGAGCAGAGGTGGGGCCGGAGCAGCTGGCCCTGGCACCATCACCTGCTGCCTGTCAGAAAGCTTTCTAATATGGTCCATCCATGCTCTAAGTGTACGCATCTCTGTATGCGTATGTGTGTGCTTGTGTACGTGTGCAACATACTTGAGAGTCATCTTCAGGCAGGGCGCAAATTTTATCCCCTTCCTGAAGAAAACCGGAGAGACGAAGAAAGAGTGCACATCATTAGGACTCTCGTGAACATCTGGGAGAGGAGAGACAGGTGACAAATAAGCAGTGTCTGGAGATTATATCTGCACTTCAGTTAGTTTGTACTTCTGCATCCCACTCTATGGCTTTTTGGTAAACTGTTCATATGCCTTTGTCAAACACTTGAATTATATGTCAACTTTTTTTTTGTAATGTCAATGTCACTCAAGTTTTATTTGAAATACTGCATATGCTGCATTAAAAGTGGTTCATTTGACAGTTTGCCCTTGATCCTTCAAGTCCCTCCCGCTGTGCAGTGCACATGCAGTGTCTCTGCATCACTGACACCTGTTAACCGTGACCTGCTTTCGGTCAACTAACTTGTAGTATAACTCTAGTTTACTACAGCTATAGAAGAAGATGATTCTTCTCATTTTCACTGAACAAAAGCTGTCAATGGTGCTGTTGAAAACCACTTGTCACCAACCCACAAAGCATTATCACATGCCAGTGTTAATTCAGCTCTACACTGTGGCATTCTTCGGTTCACTGTTCCCTTTTTACCTCACTGTTTTGGTTCAGCCTCAATACTCTTATCAACCCAGTTTGAAAAAGCTCTGATAAACCCACAATATACTACCTGGCCCAGCAGCAAACAAAGTAGATAGGCTAATTAAGCACCTAGCTGGGGAACAACAAGCATTTACCAGCTAAAAAAAGAAGTATGTATTTTAAGAGTTGGTGGAGACCAAACCAAAGAACTAAAAAAAAAAAGAATGTTAGCAATGGATATACATTTGCTAGGTCATCTGAAACATTCTTTCCAATAAATGTTTGCTGGATGTGTAGAAACTTTACAGGATGAAAATATGTCAGTGCTGTTTTCATATTGTGCTGCCCTTCAAGTGGCCACAACATTTTTCACAACTTCTTTCAATTCGTTAGAGATTAGACCTCTAGGAGGCTCTGGGAATCTTTGGTTGGAAGGGATGTTTGGTCTCTCAAAAGCTGATAACAGTAACTAATGTTAGTTTGCTATCATGTATTTTCGACACTTACTTTAGGAGAAGCAGTGATGCCAACACTTTTGGGACACTTAATCTTCTGCCTTCCTCTTCCGTGTCAGCTGAATGGGCTCATGTGAACTGCAGCCCTGTTGAAACAAGGATGGATAATTATGTATAGGGGCGCTGCTCTGTGCTAGTCTTAATCATCTACAACAAATACTTGCAATGCACAGCATAGAGAAAACACGTAATTAAATGAAGACCCATTGACTGAACAATGCTATGCACAAGAATTGAGTGTGTGTTTGTGTGTGTGTACAGGAGGAGGAGCAGGGGATATTGAGGGTATCTTATCTAACAGTTGAGCAGCTTTATGGCTTCTAATAGGCACCCTGTCAGATTGAATTGTAAATATGGAGCACCACTGTGCATTCAGAGGTGTGTACATCCTCTGCCTCATTTACCAGATGCTAAGTCATGACCAGCCCGTTTATTGCGCCATGCAATCCACAATTAAAATGAAGAGAGACTCACAAGCAAAAAGCCATTTACCTTAGTCCAAGCCGCACTTACACACCAAACACAAATTTCACTGTTACTTGAAAACTTTCCATGCATGGAGCACATTATCATTTGATTTCAATCCAGAGTTCTCAATTAAAATTATACAGAGGTTGCATTTCATTACCTGAGCTCGGGGCAATTTGCAGGCCATTAAACTCCTACCTGTATTAGTGGCGATGTTTTTCAGGTGAACATCTGGGGTTGCGGAAGCAGAGCATGAAATGAAATGCCCCTGGTTCTCTGCTCTGCCTTTTGTCCAAAAAGGGCCAAAGGGCCTCGGGTATTAGAACAGTATGCATAGTAAAGAGCGTGTTTTCATTATTATTAGTATTAGTATTGGGAGGGGCCTTACCCTAGCATGAATTTGGCTTCAAAACACCCCGGATATGTCACCAGTGAACACCTTTTTTCATCTAAATCCTGAATACCAATAAAAATGCAAAGTGTTTCTTACTGAATTCCCCATAAGGGAACAAGACTCCCCAGAAAACTGTAATTGATTTCTGTGCCATGCAAAAATTAAGAAACTACCCTTATGGGACCTTTTAAGAATCAGACCTCATTACACCTTGGATCTGATGTTTTTCTCTAAATCATAATTTAAAATACAAAGTGCAATCATGCTGCCTAATGATATAATGCAATTTGGTTGGTAATGTAATAAAAACTGCAGCTTAGGACAATTATACTCTGGATTTTTGTGATGGAGATCTCATATGTATTCCTTGTGCATTTTTTACTCTGTGCATTGAGACTGAAATAATGTATGTCCACAGACTACAGTGGGAGATAAAAAAAATAATAATCATATTAGATTTTCATTTCAATCTATTTATATGCCACTGTGATGTAGGTTGCAGGTTTTTCTCAGACATTTTTTTTTTTACTTTTGTAATAAGGATAAGAATTCTTCACCAGTGCTTACAGAAGTTCATTAACTTGAAGTGGACATTTGGCATACATATCAACAAAGAATTTCTAATAGCACATTTTTCTAAATTAGTCACTCTGTGAGTTATAATACCCGAAGTTTACTATTTGCCCCCCAAAAAGCTGACTTTTAGGCATGTTGTAGTCATCTAGTGTCACTTCTATAGAAATATGAATAAATAGTATTGTATGCTGAGATTCAGACATCACGCCTTTGGGGTCAGGTGACAAGGATGCAGCAAAGAGTGTCCACTGCTGTCTGTCAGTATCAGGGAAGAAAGGGATGTATTTTTCAAAGGCTTTGAAATTCTCCCCCAGCTCTGCAAAGTACTTCAGCAAATCTTCAATCTGAGCCTGCATCGGGAGAGGGTTGTGGAAACTATCCTGCTGAGTCCCTGTAGGAAACAAGGCATGCCTCAGTGTCCCCAACTACCATAGGCCAGTGGTGCTGACCTCAGACATAATAAAGGCTTTCAAGAGACTTATCCCAGAGCCCCTCTGACCACTGCTCAAGCCTTCACAGGACCCACTCCAGTTCGCTTGTCAGCCTCTGTCTGGAGAGAACGTGGACAACACCCTCAACCCTATTCATTCTGTCCTGCGGGGGAGAGAAATGTAAAAACATGCAAGTAGATTCTCCCAGTTTCTGGCCAACCCCATTATGTCTGCCTCCAGAAGTGCGTGTTGGGCACCATGGTTTGCAGCACTGGAGCCCTGCATGGGACCATCCTGTCCCCCTTCCTCTGCAGCTCAGACTATAGTAATAACATGGAGTCCTACATTTCTACAGAAATTCTCAGATTCCTCTGCTGTTGCTGGATGTATTCAGGGTCGAGACAACAGACAGCTTTGAGGACTGTGGGGGCTTAATCACCTGCAGCTCAGCCCAACAAAAAAGCTGGTGGTAGATGTCAGAAAATCCAAAATTCCTGCAACTCCTCTGCGGTGAAGAGGTGTATGTTCTAACAAACTACAAATATGTTAACTGCCAGTCAATAAACTAGATTGGGCCATTAATTCTATGTCATTTTAATAAAAAAATAAAGGCCAGAGCTGCACATGTTCTACAAGTCTGAGGTGGGCGGTGCCATCTTCTGTGCGGTGATTTGATGGGGCAGCAGCGTGAAGGTGGCAGAGACAGACTCATTAAAAACACTGGAGGTGGAGCTGAACTCTGTATGCATTATGGCTGAAAGGAGGATGTGGTCCAGGCTCCTCTTGATTCTGGACAATATTCCCACCTAGTCCACAGTGTGTTTGTTGGTTAGACAGTGGAGCACCGAGACCGTCCTATTAAATACGAGGATACGTCATTTGTGCCAGCAGGTTAGGTGTTATAGTTTGGCAACATCTAGCGACCATATTAATTATGACAAGAAGAAAGGAGTAAGTATATACATGCACAAAGTATGCATTTAAAGAGCCAAGTTCAAGTCCAGTGTGTGGCTTTTCTATTTCTGAGGGCTTTTGATCCTAAACATGACCAGGTATATTTTCCCCTAAACGTAACCCAGTAGTTTTTGTGCCTAAACATAACGGAGTGTTTTTTGTGTGGCAAAACAAAATGAAGCCGTGACAGTTTCATAATCATTGATTTTTTGACAGTTTCCAAGATGATGGAGTTCTAGTAGCTTGTTGCCATTGTCATTATGGCTGTGTCCGTGACGACAAAGGTCCGTAAAGCTTGGTAGTGTGACATGTGTTGACGATAATTTTGGTGGGACTGTTGCAATTCCTCCGGTGACTGTAGGAGGACTACTTAATGATACGCCTCTATAGGACATACGAGTGGGAAGGGACCAATGACCATCAGTGACGTGCGGTGAGGGGAGGCAGGTGAGGCAGAGCCTTCCCTGTCAATCTTGAAAAGAAAAAAGTTAACCATAAAATATAATAAAGGTTAATATTTGTAGGCTGGTGTGCATTGTAGGCCCTTTTGCCGTTCGAATCCGATGTTGAAGGAATTTTTTTCAATAAAGAATAGCAGAATTTCCGTATGTCTCGTTCAAATACATGGAGGAGATGCGCGATGAGGCAGCACTTTGCTGTGCCTCTCGGTGGATCGTGTAATCCTCACAAACTGTATGCGATGCCAGATTAACCATAAAACCCAGTAAAAAAGTTACTTGGTGAGGCAAACAGTACGCCTGCCTCAAGGCAGAGGGCGCTAGTGAGCCCACAGATTCTTGCGCTACCTACAGTCTTCTTTGTGTTTGTTTATATTTCCTTTACGCCTTACCAAAATGAAAGATTACATTTCCAAGATGAGAAAATTCGCAAATCTGGACTTTCAATCAAAACATTTTTGACAGTCTGGACATTTTTGTCCAGAAGGATCTTCTTTAAAAACATTTGTTTTAATATTGGATTCGAACGTTAAAAGGGTTTGTAATACATATCAGCTGACAAATGGATTTCGTGTACAAGTAAAGGTAAGACCATAAACTTTTATTATTTCTAGTTAGAAATAAGCTCAACTGGAATAAATTTTAACCTCAAATTAAATATGGGTCACGTTTGTGTGAAGAATGCTGATATGAGATAAACATAACGCATTGTCTGTTAACAGACAATTTGTTAACGGTTCATTTGTATTTGTAAATCTGACTGTAAAAGAGTCAGTGCCTCACCAGCTGTCAACCTCACCGCACGTCACTGACGACCATGTGGGTCATATAGGTTGGAGGACTTGCTGGAAGCACCTTCAGCTAGAGACTGATCACTGTCAAATGTTCCTACATGGGATCTTCTCTTCCAATGGCTATTAAACTGGATAACTCCTTCCTCGTCTGTTAGGGCGGGTCTGAGACAGAAACAGGACAGGACTAAACAAACATGCCACTCTGCCATGTTAATCATAACATTCAACATCAATGTGCGAATACATAAGTCGGTCATTTCTTTCACCTCCTTGTCACAACTTCAGTTTATCACGACTTAACTGCAGCGCCACTATTTGTATTTATGTTGGTGTGGTTCTTTCCCTTGTCCCTCTCCTCGAAGCAGTGAGCAGCTGCAACACCAAAAAGCAATTTCCCCCTGGGATTAATAAAGTTCTTTGAATCTCGAATTGAATTTATGGAGGAGATCATACAAATGGATTAGAACAATTGAGTAATCATCTTTATCTTTTTCTTCATTTGACTTAGCATCTCTCATTACATTTGACAGCATGCTGCCACGTAAAAATTACATTCACTGGTTTTTTTTTATGTAAGAAGCAATATCTATGCAAAAGCTATTTTATGAAGTGTTACTGTGCTTTCTATAGAGTACTACCCTTTAATCTTCTGTACTTGAAAGAAGAGAAAAGAATAAAAAGCCAGTCTAATATATTTCGTGAAAAAAAAAAACAGAAAAAAAAATTATAAAACCCGTAGCAATGCCCACACTTGGTGGAGGGCAGCTTTGGTGTGTCTCTGTTCACGCTGTTATGAATAATAACATTCCTTTGTTGGGGATTATAGGTCCTTGCCACAGTGTGTTCCAAATATTTTGCTTGTGACAGCCTGAAATGGCTTTCAGTTTGTCTAATAACATCAGAGTTGCTGTCTAAGTCACACAGTGAACATTCGAATATCACTTTCCTCAACACCGCGAGGCAGCTGCATTAAGAGAGCCCCAACACAAACTAGCTTTTCATTTCTGTTATCATACTTCAACAGTATGAGGATCTCACTGGAGATTTGTGTGGTACAAGTTGTATTCTAGATGATATGCAGTAATCAGGCCCTTTGAGTCTCTTTCCGTCTCTCTCCCTCACTCCTTCTCTCTCTCTCTCTAGTCTGTCTCTCTCTCTTTACCCTGCCCTCACTAAAGCTGGTGAGCACTCAAGTCTTGCAGCGTTTTAGCATTACATCATTCAACACAGCACACTATTAAGCTTTTGGGAACTGGGAAGATGGCCCAGACCTTCAGATTTGTCATAGCACTGAGCTCCATTGTTGCACCGAACAGATGAATCACATGTTGACCAAACAGTCACTAAGCTTGGGGAAATAATTAATGCGCAGTCCTTTCTCTCTCTCTCTCTCTCTCTCTCTCTCTCTCTCTCTAATCAAGTACGTGGACAAGTGGAGACACTGCGGCTAGCTGTCAAATTTTGTCCCGCTTGTGTCAACACTGGCAAACGTATATTTATTCTGCAAGGGACATGGCCTCCATTCATCTATCCCTGTATGTACCCTTATGATATTCCACCCAGGTAAGATGTCATGGTGGCGCTTAGTTATGCAGTAGAATTTATTGTCTGCACTGCAGCAGATTACCATTGCTTAACATGCCACACAGGAGACTTAAAGAGGCAGCACTTTTCACAGTCTTGCATCCTGCTGGCAACTATGTTGGAAAGCCTGAGGCATGCTGGGAAGCCTGGTTTTTATGCATGGTTTCCTACACTGTGAAGGACACAAGGAATACAGTAAAGTGCGAGGGAAGAAAAGGAGGGAGTGAACATATTAAAACTGTGACATTCACTATTGTGTTATTCAGTTCTTAAATTTTTGCTTTTATTTATTTTTTACCAGTATGAGGTGCTATGCTGTCACATACTGATGTATTACCCTGAGCTAATCTTGCCACTTGGCAATGAAAATTTGGCATATTGCTAAAAAGTGCTAAGGGACATTCAGTGAAAAATTAAGTTATATAAAGATCAGGTATACAAACCTACTATTTACAAAGTCAGTAGCTTGCGTTTAATTCATCCAAAACAGCTTTCATTGCTGGCAACTTCATACAGTTTAGTATTCCTTCCAACTACAACGAAATACAGATTCAACCTAAATAATTTAACACCACTGCACGTCAAACAGGGATACCGGGCATGAGCCTCAGGATGCATTTGAAGAGAAAGTTCTTTACTAAAGGCTATGTAACAAAAGACTGGTGCTACTCTAAGTAGGCTGAGTACAAGAGTTTCTCCTGCAAAAAAAATGTGTAGTGAGAAGAGAATTAATCTTTTGAAGTTATATCTGCATGCATATGCTATCAGATTCAGACACCCGGCTATAGGATGATAAGAAAGGTTCAGCTTTTGTCCACCGTGGGCAATACTCCAGGCAATATGGCTGCCGCATGGGTTTTGCCTGTGTGATGCTGATTGCCTGGGGTTAGGCAAGAAACAAAATGTTCTAAAAATTGATTAAATCAAACCTGGTGTGTCTCTGCTCAGATCCCATCTGTAGGTAGTTACAGACTATCGCCTACAGCTGAAACATTGTAGCAGAAGTGTTCAGTTTTACAATACCACTTCATTGTACTTGTACATTATTATCACTGTATCACTTCAATTTTCTTGTCGTGTTCATATAACCACCATTTCATCCTTGCATGTGTGCAGTGTTGTATCTCAACTGACTGTAAGCAGGTTTGACCTGAACTGTCTTCTGCTATGAGATTTTGAATTAAGACTTGTAAGAAAACCTGGAGGACTTAAAGTGATTTCCAGGTAACCTGTTATGTTTTTACATAAATGAACTTTTTTGTTATTCTAATCACTTGTGACTGGCAGGACGTTTCTGGGAAAAATCCTTTGATGCATCATTTGAAGACGTTATTTTCATTACAGTATTTGTTGGAAACTTAAGTAACCAATTTATGAATTACATGACATTTTTAGTTTCATTAAGACCAGATTTCACATTAATAATCATCATTTTGACTTGATTTGTTATGGTGTTCAGAAATCCTCTGTTGATATCATAAGCAACAATCCTGCAGTAGCAAAAGCTCACTGCAACAGTTTCTCTTCTCTTGAGGATCCATTGTATGTTTATGCCTTAAGCAGTCATGCACATTTTACAGAGAACTGCACCTGGAGTAAATGGGTAGAAAGCGGCACCTAAAACAAGTTAATTTGTACAGTAATTAACTTGAATTGGTTTGAGAACAATACATTGTGGATAGTTTTTTTTTTAAATACATAAGCATTATGTGTGATGTTTGCATATTCCTCTCTGTATCCTTATTTTGGCAGATAAGAGAGCACTCAAAACACTTCATCTTAAAGACAACAAAAGCACATTAAGAAATGCATTCAGCAGTTTGACAACACTCAGCACAAAAACACATTGCAAATGCACAAAGCTCAAAAAATGCTGCAAGTCACAATAATGAAACAAATTTACAACCAGTGCTCTTTTTAAGGTGTCTTTAAACAACTCCAAAGACCCCTACCCACACATAACATCTTCTGCAAGTTCAGAAATGCAAAACAATAAGTTTTGGTTTAACAAGAGCCGACCTAAAGTCAGGGGGAATTTAACATCCAACATTAGCTTAACACCACTAAGCTGCACGATTGAAACACGGGGGGGGGGGGGTACCGCTAGTGGCTGTGCCAAGCTAGCTAGCCAGACTTCTCTTCAGATTGAGTCAATAGACTACTCACTACGACACGCTGGGGGGGAAAAATATTTCAACTTGAATATTAATTAATTTAGCTTATAATTGTGCTTTGTAGTCATAGTTTAATTTGGGGCTTTGTTTGTTTTACGTAACGTTACATATGGAGTCCACCATAGCATAAGTCATTTACCTTTTACCATCCAACTGCATTTACAGGACTGACTTGAAATCCCAGCTGGTGGCTGAGCGGATTCACGCTTCCATTTGCATAGGGTTAAAACAAAACATGATGGAACAGGATAATGTGCTTAAATATTAGTATATTATTCAAAATAACAACATGGTTCACGCAGTATTTCGCGAGTGGAACGTTACCGCGGTAGCAAACGTTCCAACTTCGCGACATTCAAACGCCGAAAACGGCCCTTAGCATTTAGTAACCTGCCAGGAATGCGCATGTCAGTGCGCGTGACTGGAAACCGCGGTGATTTGCCGGATGACGTCAAGTTACTTTGTAGAATACCCTTTCTGAGTCGTTTTGGACGATTAAGTGCAAGAAATGACCTCAACACCCCTGTAAAACGGCTTGAACAAAATCTGAACAACCGCCACGAAGGACGAAGGTGTTACAGGACCTATTAGACTCCATTAGTTTTAGCTGTACCTAATAATCTGCTAGCTATATGAGCCATCCCAGACTTTCCAAACCAAAATTCACATGTGCATTTGTAAACAGAACATATAGTAGTAACCTATAATAGCTTATAGGATTCTGTTGCTACTGTTCACAAGGGTTTACACTGCATACTCATCATATATGGAGGTTTGCATGTGAATATAGTGTTTTTTCAAAACCAGTCATCCTGTAATCTTCATCACAAACCCACAGCAAAGTGGAGCTGCTTGGAAAACAGTGGAAGAATAAAATGGATGAGCAGTCAGTAATTATTATAAGAACATAGCCAGTATCTCCAATAATATCAGAATCAGCTTAGCATACCAATAATAAACATTATTAACTGGTTCATTTTTTGTACACCTTCAGCTTCAATGAACACTGAAAATGTCCACTGTGTTGGACCTGCAGCATTTCAGTATCCTTGTGTTTTCCATACATGCATTAGGTTATAATATTCACACCCTACATCCTTCATAGCTGCACAAACATGACCCAATACGTGCAGACAGGGGACATTTGTTGACTCTTCATCCATCCCAAGGCCCTCCATTAACAGCTCTGGATGACAGTTGTAGGTATGGCAGTGCTCTCTCTCAGGCTGTAAAGCATGAGGCCTAACCTTCCCTACAGCAGAAGTAATGGTCCACACCTTTAATTGTCGTGGGCTGTTCATCTTCACTAACAATAGCAATAAGCAATGGGTCTGGGAAAGAAAGGCAGTCGTGTCTGACAAAGGAAGTGATTTAGCTCTGGAGGCAATTCGTAAGTGGGTATTGCAGGGGCAGCAATAATGTGCTGAGAGAAAGATCATATGGGGTAAGAGACGTAGCACACACATTAGTGACACACAGGCAACACACTGGATGTGTTTTTCCTTCCTACTGTAAAGATTTACTTTTTAAAAAAAAGAAGCAGTAAAAGCGTACTGTATATGTCCTTCAAGAAGCTGGAGCTTGTGATATTGGAGTGGGCATGATGTTCTCTGAACTACAGATACTGCAACGCTTTAGAAAGTGAGTTGGACAAGGGCAACTTTGTCACCACAGCTGTATCAGTCAGAAAACAAACAACACATCTCATTTAAAGAATTGGGCTTTCTGCATGTGTGATCTTTTTCAGGTTTTGATGTTTCCTCATTATTCCATTTGATGTCAAAACATCATTTGATGCTCAACTTTCAAAAATCTGTTTATAGTTCTGTTTTTTTATTCTGCCCAGCCTTCCAAAGAGGAAAAACCGCTGTGAAAAAAGGTGCCATTGATGGGTCACTGGTTTACTGTCTGAATTAGACACATAAAACAAGAAATAGACAAGTGTAGTTTACCAAATTAAAGCATGTTCCCTGGGAAACTTGAGGCCCATTAAAATGATAGATTGCCTGGTGTATGCAAAGGGATGCTTTACACCCACAAAACACTCTAATTGCATTCATTCCACTGAGAAGTCCACAAATGTTGAATCTAGATTCTCAGGCGTACTGGCAGCAAGCTGCCAGACAGCAGATGACTGGCTTCAAACGAGTAGCGAGGGGGAGGGATGTAAAGTCTTGACAAACAGTGAGAGCCAGTGTCCACATCATCTCTCGCCCCTGACAGGCTTCCCCATGCATGAATTCAAAGCTGGTAAAACCATGGCTGGATTCATTTTGATCTGACATCCATCATGTAGATCAGTGTTGTGGTTTCACTGTACTGTGTCCACGATAAGATGTTTTGGCAATTGGCCCATGACATCTGTTAGAGCCAGTCAAGAGAAACTGGGACCAATTTGACATTGCTGTCACAAGTTTGTGTTGGCTTTTGACTTTGAGCATTCTTCATTCATATTAGAATAGTCACCCAAGTAGCAAAATGATCCTGTAATGTAATTGTACTGTATGTACAAATAGTTTTTAAATTGAAAATTTAAACTGTTAGTTAAAAGTAATCTGTTAAATTTTGTATATAATGTTTGTCACATTGATTTTGAGGTTGCAGTTTGTGGTGTGGTTGCATCAGATTGTGTGATTCTGTAATATGCTCAAAATGTTTCCCTTCCCCTTTTTTAACCTATTGTTTTTCTTCTTTTTTAACATTTTATTTTATCCTCGTGAGGGTTTGCAAAGGGACTGCAGTTTGTATTCTGTTTTCATTTGTCAGATGGAACCTGTAAGAGCCTTTCAACAAGATGCCAGGGGGTAAATGGGTTTTGTGTACTGGTTAAGAGCCATTAAGAAATAAACTACATGATTTGCTGCAATATTAATGATTATATGAGATGCAGACTGGGCTCTTTGGTGGTTTTAACCACTGTAAATCAGCCCTTAAATACTGACAATGATATTTAACCATGCAGTGATTAAGTTAATAGCAGCATCCAAACCTGCTTATAGTCTCATAGTTAAGTTCTGGAATTACATATAAACTACTGACAATATTTCTGAATGGGTGAAGAATGGTAGCATGTGTGTGGAAGGCGTTAGGCAGATGGGATGTATCTGATATCTCTCACTCAACATAATGAGATGAGAATGTGCTTCACCAGTCTTAGGGCCCATCTGATGGCAAGAGACACGGTGCCCACTCATACGGGAGGGATCTTTCCCCTCTTCAAAGATAATGAGATGACAATGTATTCAACTATCATTAGACAGAGACAGGGTTTGGGGGAGGATGGAGGAAGAAACATTCTACAGTACTTGTCTGATGCCTTTGATCAGATGAGAAAAGCAACTGTCATTCTTTGTATCAGCGCTGGAGTCATGAAAGCTCAGCTAACTACTTTATCACTGTCACTGTCACTAAAAGGCTATAGTTTGTGGTGTAAAACCTTAAGTAGGTGATTTCTCAAGTTCACCTGGATTGTTAGCTGTAACACCCATCTGTGTAGTTACAGTCCCGCTTCCTGTGTGCTATGTCTTTCCCTGAATTAAGTCACTTGACAAAAAAAAAATGTTAAGTGTAAAATCAATTCGCCATCACCTTGGTAGAAGAGACGTAACATTTTGCCTGACATGGCACTCCATTGCAAAATGTCAAACACGCCTTGGTAGCAGGCTTATTTAAGCAGGTTTGACAAGACAGTCTTATTCTAAGTTGAAATTTTGTTGTGGCACTTGTAGAAAGATCCATCTTGTCTTTTTTCCCCTGTTGTGAAGATGATGCCTTGCATGCAGCTATTTTTTTATTTTTTTATTATTTTTCAGTTTTTCTTAGAACACTGTGTTTTGACAAAACATTAAAATCCTGTTTTTTCAGGCATTCTTCAGTGAACATTAGGCCAACTGATCTGCGCTGAAGTTCTGAGAGTGTATTTTGACAGCAAACAATTATGCAGTGTTATCATTTGTCTGGCAGCAGAAGAAAGTGTTTGGTGAAATCTAAAATTCTGTGCCTGTTTCTTTGTAAAGCAATCATTTGTGATTTATCTTAATGTTCATTCTTCCTAAATACAAAAATATATATTATAGAAGAAAGTAACCTGGAGCACATATGGTATGTACTCACAACCAGCAATCGGTATAGTACAATGTTTGTGACTCATCCTATGCTGTTCCATTTTCTCTCATCACTTTCCATCTCTGTTCATGCCACACACAAAAAAACTATAAAATACAAGGGAGAGCTGCTCCCCCACTCCTAAAAAATATATCAAAGACTCTCGAAGCAGAGCTCAAAAATAGAACAAGCTGTCTACATTTGTCACATTTTTATGAGAGATTGTTAAAACTTTTTGTGATGCCAAAATGCCTTTAAAACTTGACAAATCATCTTTCAAGTCAGAACTCATCTTGTTCGTAGGCTTCACGGTCCCCTTAAACCTCAACAGGATGCTCATTTGAAAGTAAGAGAAGGAGACGCCTTAACATCCAATTTCCCAACATTTCATCATCATGTCTCAGTAATTATGCAGGAATATTATAGCTCAAGTATTTGTCCTTGGCATTCTTAATGCAGGTTGACATTTATTATGAACAGTAATGGTATTGGAGATCTTTGATTTGTCGTTTTGCAGTGGTAAGTGTGGTTAAGTGCATTCTCTGCAGTGCAACAGCACCCTCTCTTGACACTTTATCATATGATTACATCACCATGAAGGAGCATACATACATACAGTGTGTGTGTGTGTGTTCTTGTACTTGCTACATAGTGAGGATTTTTTTTTCTTTTGGCTACAGATTGAGGACGTTCTTGGAAATTGAGGACATTCTGGCCAGTTTTCACTTTCTAGAACATCTTTTTGAGGGTTAAGAGTTGGTTTTAGGGTTCTGATTAGAATTAGGTTTAGTCTAGGTATTAGGGTAAGGGCTAGATTTAGGCATTTAGCTCTTATGTTTGAGGTTAGGGTAAAAGGTCAGGGAATGCACTGTGTCAATGAGCGTCTTCACAAAAATAGTGTGAAGTACAAGTATGTGTGTGTGTTAGGATGAACTAAGCTAAAAGATAAGTCTAAAACCCCCATTATTACTTTCTGTATTATTTTATTACACACTGAATGCAGAACACCCACATCTTATTTGTCATGAAGCTTAGAATTCATTATGTCTTGTCTGTTTCTCTATTAACAGCTCTGGATGACAGCTGTAGATATAGCGGTGCTCAGGCTGTAAAGCATGAGGCCTAACCTTTACTACAGCAGAAGTAATGGTCAGAAGACAGGCATCTTTTATTGTCTGAATTAACAAATATGATAAAACACTGAACTGTTTTGTGAAGTATTGTATTATATTTCCATTTTTATTTTATTATTGCAGTGATCATTTCCATGCATCTTAACAGGTGCCACAAATGTACCATATAGGCTACTGTAGGAAGATATTATTTAACCTTGGATTACAATTTAATAAGAACTGTGGATCCTCTTTTAAAGTAAGATGCTTTATTTGACACAATTTAGGTTATGTCAAATGCCTAAAATAGTTCAATTGTAGGATTCTGAGGATAGTTATATTAGGATTACTATATCAGCTAAAATAAACTAGCCTTGTCTTCTAAACCTATAAAATATCAGTGAATTTTATTACTTAGAAATTCTAATAAAAATGTAGCAAGTGACGTTTCTCCTGTTAAAAAGCATCTATTGGCACCTTAATGTTTTATTTTTCAGTTCTGCAGTGTGCTGTGAGATAAAGCAAATTTTCCGTAGGCCCTTTAAAGCTAAGCTCAGAATTGGAAACCGGATGACTTTGAGGTATTGCATTATACTCTCATCACGTGATGCTGATTTTCTCCGTGTTTAGCACAGTTTATAGTTGTGTTTGCCAACTTATGGGTGGGACACTGAATTAGCAAAGCTGTATAATGGATGTGGAATTTAAGACTGAGCAACACTAAGCTAACATGCATAAAAACATCACAGCAAGGAATGGAAAACAACCAAACCTTGCATTTTTTGCATGAGCCACAATCATTGTGGTATCAAATTGAATTAAGCTGTTTTCATCATTATGGTTTCATGTTTCTGCAGCCATGACACTAAGCTTCTCGAATTAATTGGACAGAGATATATTGAGATATTTCATGTTATGGCTTTCAGCAATACTATACTCGAGGGGGTGAATTTAGGTAAAACGCTATTATCCTTTATTGATTTCCATTATAAGATTTGACAGGAGGAGATGCAAATAAACAGAAATAAAAAAGTTAGAGGCAATTAATTTTTACAGCAACTGAGATATTGATTGTGCTAAGGGGGGGTTGGGGTGGATTACTGTAATGTGCGTCTAATATTTTGCTTTTTTTTTTTTTTACAAAAAAACCGACAGGTTCTTGAATAAGAGCTGTACATGTGGATGCATGAGCCTGTATTTTGTATGCAAAACCATCCAAATCTAACCAAACAGCCAGGAGGAGAGTAGAGTGGAGGGATTCTGAAACTATTTGGATGGTAAACAATGAAAAAAGCAAAGGCAAGCAATGGCAGTTGGTCCTCAATCTGTTGATAAGAGAGTAAAAAAACCTGAATAATATGAACAAACATGCTTACATGATTTAAAAAAATGGGTGCGGCAAGAGAACAAAACCAAGGTTAATGCTGGCATCAAAGTAGCTTCCGTGTCTGTTTAGTGAAAGAGTCAGTTTACTTTTCTTAAGGCAGAACAAGAAAAACAAAATCTGCCCACTGAGGGGACACATTCAGCTGTAGCAGTGGATTTGAACATGCAGATAAGACTAAAGTCATTTTATTTATAGGTTTGCATGCTGTACAAAACTATGATAAAAGCATAAAAAGAAGCATTTGGCCCCAAAACATGTTATAATCACAGTTACAAATTGCTCTCATTGTGAACAAGTTAGCAACTTTTATGAGCAGCTGAACATATGAATAAAAATTTTAAAAAATTATAATCAAAGTCACATCAGAGAAATGCTGTGGAAGTCGGGTTTCTGCACATAAAAATGTCATCCTCTCTGATTGATGGTTTGGATGCACATGATGTCACTCAGCCATGAATTACAGTTTTGTTCAGGGTTATTTGAGCTGTGTAGATGAAAATGATCTACATGACCAAGATGGCACTGTATCCCTTTAAATACAGAGAAAACAACTGTTATATATTATTGTATAACATTCCTTCAGCTGGCATGCCCAGAACTAAAACCAAAAGATTGATAATAACTGTATCACCAGTGTGCACTGGTTTAGGCATGATTCTATTAACATGAATGTGATTTCATAAAGTTCACAAAATCTGTACAGCAATGTGAAATATCAATATGATATATTTTCTGTAATTCACAATTCTGTAAACCTTTATTTAATGAGAAACAAGACCAAGACAAGAAAATGGCTTTGGTGTTCTGTAGCTACAGGCTCAATAAAAAAGTCACTCAAGGAAAATGTCTGAATAGTTCTGATATCGCCCCTGTAGGTCAGGCCAGCCATGCCAACCCCAGTGTTCACAGTGGTCTTCTTCTGTAAAGATAAAGAATCTGTTCAGACCACTCACTAAGGAAACACACTGTTACATATATGTATATATTATAGCAATTTTCATTTGAGTAGCAATAAAGGGAAATAGAAACCTGAAAATATATTGTATGTATGTGATGGCACTCATAACAAATGTGCAGAAATGTAAACTAGCCTGCAGTTAGGCTTTACTTAAAGTTTGTAACTTTTACATTTAATCTTAAGGACATACACAGAACTTTTCATAAAACTAGCACTAACAAAACAGTACAACAAAGGCTTGGCACTGATTTGCTACAGCTTAGCCAAGTCTATGAAAATTCTTGATCGGTTAAGTATGTGGAGAATGTGCAGTGCATCCAAGTCCTCCCCACAGGGTAGACATGGCCACTAATGACAGACACAATGGTTTCTGGGCAGGGCTCTGTCTGTGTTTCCCTCTGAATTATCTGGAGAGCTGAGTTAAAGGGGAAAAAAGAATAAAAACAGGATCCTCAAAGGATGTGTCCTTGATCTGTTGTTTTGTTTGTCCACTCTTCTTTGCTGCTCTCATTTGTATCCCATGCTGTCATGAGACAAAACACTCAAGGCAATTTCACCACCACCACGCAGGCACCTGCCCTTCCAATGTTGAGAGGGACCTCCTACAGGAAGACAGAGAAGTTAACATACAACCTCTCATCTGAGGAAGTCTTCAGAAAAATCCCATTTTATGTCATGCAGATAAGAAGGTTATAGAGGCAAAATTGGAAAAAACATAGTGCAAAAACAGATAAGCAAGCTATAAAATACCGATAGGATTCAGTGACTTCAGTAGAATTATGGCCCTGAAGGGTGTTAACTGGAGCCCTCAGGTTACATCTAACTAGATCTGGCAAAAAGAAACTACAATTCCATTAAAAATTGAACCATTTAAAAAGCCAAATGTTCCCTAAATCACTTTGCACGGTCATATTTAATTAGTATTTAAAACAATATAATATGTAAAGTGTGTTTTTGTGACTGTAATAACTTGTTGATAAGTCGATAGGATTACCTCAGTCCACTCATTGGTCTGGGCATCATAGGACTCAACAGTGTTCAGATATGACTGGCCATCGTATCCACCCACAGCATACAGCCTGTCACCCAGCAGGCAAACACCCACTGCATCCCGGGGAACACTGAGGGAGGACACAGTGGTCCACGTGTCCGTCTTTGGGTCATACCTATTTTTGGTAAAAATGCATTTATCCAGTCAGCCTAAATGTCAAGAAGAAAGCAGCATCCCATCCCCACTAACTGAGACTCCCGTATGTTCCCCATCTTTAATCACAGATGTCTGAATGGTCACCGGTGGGAACTCTTTTCAGCACAGAGAACCAAATTTGCACTTTAAAGCAAAGCTATCTCTTGAATATCAGCTATCAGATGGTGGGTCCAGAGAGAGACGGACTCATCAGCGAGGGCACAGATTTTTTTTATTATGTTGACGGCTATATGATTGAGTCTATGATTTCTGAGTAGAGTTCAGTCAAAAATTCGAAACTTAATTCATATCATGCTGATGTGTGGAACAACCAGAGTCTGAAGTTTTCAGTTTTAAGCACAATAAATCAAATGCAGGTGACAAAATGCATCTGGAGTGCAAAGAAGTAGTCAAGTCATTTAAAGAGCAGATGCCAAAACTGTCTAATAAGTGAAACAGCAATAAGAGCACAAACATGGCACTGAGCAGGCACTGATTAATCTAAACGATTCAGTTTGTTTAAAGTGATGTAAGATGCGTGAAATCTTTTTAGTACACAGACAAGTCCAGGAAGATATGTGACAACCAGAAAATGCTGAAGTGATGCATGTTCTTTAGTTAACTTCCACAAATCAGACATAACATTACAAACATTGACAGGTGAAGTGAATAACACTGTTTATCTCCTTACAATGGCATTTAGTTTGAACGTTAATTAAAATGGTTGAAAATGAGAAACCCTGTCTTTATGAAGAGAAACATTTAATGGTGGTATAGTGGTGATATTACACCTGGAGTGGGGAGGCTGTTGAATTTGTCTAAAAAAATCATATCTAACTTGTACTAACGACCACAGTTTTCACTCCTTTTACATATTTTTATCAGGAAATGATGAACAAATGTGTGTTCTTTCAGACAATATTCCTATGTTAGCAAATAGATTCACAGAAGATGTGCTGTGATCCTCAGAGTGACACGTGTGCTGATCGGCTGTCACACTGACTCCTTCGTAGGTATTAGGCAGGTGGTCACAATGTTATGGCTGATAACTGTAAGTGCATCCTGTTGGTTTTCAAAAGGCTCATGCATTATTTAATGAAACCACATATGATGGAAAATCTATGTGTCAAATTGATCAGTTTTTCACTATCACTTGGAAAATAGCGGCATCAGTTAGTGTTTGAAGGTTATTCTTGCAACAATTATTCTATAATATAAAAATAATCAGCATAAAGTAGGCCTCATTTTAGACCAAATTTTGATGAAGAGAGTAGGTACCTGAGCAGCCAGTTACAAGTTGTTCTACTTTAAGTCACAGATTCAGATTTAGGAGAATATTATGGCCAACAGAGGGCGCCAGATATTCTAAAATAAAACTATGATCTCTTCAGTTGATTATCATGTAGCCCAGCCCAACATTTCTCAAAATACTGGAACAGTGTGAGGATCCTAAGAGAGTACACCCTCATCCCCACCCAATTGCAATCCAGAACCGCTGCTTGCACAACATTTCTGTGTTTGTATATTTTTGCCAAAGGAGAGTTTACCAACCTCTCAACACAATCGGAGAGTCTAGAACAGTGGTTGGAGGCGGGGGCATCATGTCCTCCTACAGCATACAAAAAATTGTTGTATGTCGCAACACCCACTCCTCCTCGCCTCTTGGCCATTGGAGCACACATGCTCCATTTGTTGGTGTGTGGATCAAAGCACTCCATAGACCGCAGGCATGAGCTGCCATCTCGACCACCTACTGCAAACAATCTGAGAAATTAAGCACAACTGGTTCAAAATTTTAGTTGTTTGACACATGCATTACAGCACTACAGAGTCCCACAGGAGAAGCTCTCATCACTTGTCAGAAATTCATAAAAAATTGTAACAGAACATTGCCAGGGTGAGAGATTTTATCAAATTAAACAGCAATCAATGGATAGCATTTTTCAAAGGCACTTTCCCTGACAGCGTGCTCTCTCACAAAGATCACACCAGTGTTTTATGTGCTTGTAGCTCACAGACACCAAGAAAGCAGAGGCTAGAGAAACAGTTTCCTTGTTGTCTATTTTTGACCTACATGCAGAAATAACTTTAACACTGAATACTAAATGTAGCCAACAGCAGCTTCTTTCCTCCTTTGGCACATAAGCATATTTAAATTAGGCTGAGAGCTGATGTGTGCACTGCCTAATTTACTTTCAAATAGTACTGTAAAGCATTTAATACATACAAATACATAAAGGCTTTTGCTTTTAGAGAGCCTAGATTACACTGTATAAATTACCACACTAATCAGAACTGCCTCTGTTCTAAGCTGCAGAGTTGTGCACAGCCACGTTTATCTGCATTCAAGACATATAATGTTGTCCAAATATTACGACACTAATACTACACTTCAGGTTTTCCTGGACCATTGCACTGAGTTACATAACCACGCCTGTGATACTACATGCTCTGTGCCAAAATACGTATTATATTACTGATGATTTCTGAAAACAAAGCCTACTGTAGCATTATGATGTTTGATTTTTTTCATTTTTATACAGTGTGAAAATTAAGGTGCAAATGATTAAATATACTAAATATCTGCCTTTCTTCTTTTTAGTCAAAGTCTCTGGCTAAAACGAAAGCAGACATGATGATCATTGAAAACAAGTCTGTAAACGAGATGTTTTTGTAATAAAATTGAGAAAACACACAAGAATGTACAAGAACTCTACTTTTGTATGGCCATTGTAACACTGGAATATACAACTTTTATGCATTTAAATAGCAAAGATAGATTTCTGGCAGATCCTTTCATTCTTGCATTCCTGTTTTAGTCTCTATTGCCTGTACTTGTCTGCCTCCTCAGTGTCTGTTGTGGCTTTACAAATGTCAGTGACCTCAGCCTCGGGCTGCATATATTTTGTAGCAGAACAACTTGAGGACAATTATATACTTTACTTTGAAGTTTAATAAAGCTATGTTGGGATTTTCTGTAAGTTTGATTACAAAAAAAAAAAACTGTTCAACGTACTTTCCATTGAGTGCTGTGACTCCCATGGTGCTCCGTGGTGTTGACATACTGGCCACGTAGTTCCACTGTCTGGCCTGTGGGTCCCAGCGTTCCACTGTGTTGAGATAGCTCCAGCCATCGTGGCCTCCCACAGCATACATGGGACCCTCCAGCACAGCAATGCCTACACAAATGGATGCAAGTGGTACATGTTACCCAATAAAAACTGTTGTTTTGATGGGAGCATTTGTAAAGGAAGAAGAAAATGGTCCAATTAGGTCATAAATGAAACATATAAGTATATGTGCTTAATATGCCTAATTGTATATGGAAAAGCAGAAACACAGAGAGAGCTGAGGCAGTGGAACATTTCACATTTTAGAACAGATCGGAGTGAGTCATACAGCTGGCCAACTCTATTCAGAAAACAGGAAGACTATAAACTGCATTGTTTCTTAATTCCAATTCACAGAGGAAAGCGGTTTTCACCAGAAACAACGTAGAGGATGTTTTAACACAATGCATTTTTATATTACCACGCATATTTCCTTTGGAGAGACTCCTATTATTTCGAGGGAACTTGAGGCCAAGAATGCATTCAGAGAACATTGTATGACATAAACACTGTCAGACAGAAACTATTCTTGTAGCAAAGCTCCTTTTTATTACTGACTGGTGGTTCTGGAATAAGAAAAGAAATACTTAGCTTTTTTCTTGTCTTTTATCAAAAATGCTCACAGCAGGAAATGGCCATGCAGCGATTTTGGTAGACAGTACAAATATATTCAGACTCAACATATGCATAACACAAGCAAAGCAGCAAGAGATGTTTGCTACAAGAAAGATCAAATACAACATAAGTAATCTGTACAGTGTGATCTCCTGGGCTCGCTGAAACCATGGACTGCGCTGTGCGAGTGGGCTGCTTTGACAAGATCTCCCCGTGCTGTTACCCAGACCTGTTTCAAATGTGAATCAAAACACTTCTGATATGAGATTTACTGGGCAGGGAAGGGTATGGAAGAGCAGGGCCAGCACAGCCTGCCAGACTTTGATAGGGGAATTGAAAAATATCAGAGGTCTATCTCAGAAAGAAATACGCTTTTTTTTTTTTACAGCATGCCAGCTGTGACCCTTCTGAGCATGCATCCTGTAGTTTCTGGTGTTTTTTTAACACCAGGAAGCTTGACTGAGCTAAAAGTGCAAACCTTGAAAAGAACTGTGTTTTACTGCCAACATCCCTTGAAAACACAATAGGTTTAGAAAGCAATAGAACTTGAAATAATCCAATATGTGCATCTTTCTTCATGACATTGGATGTTGTAGTGTCTATATTTTAGTCTGTAATGACTGTAAATAGCGAAATACATTTCTGTGTGTCCTTACATGACTCACACTCCTAAACAAAACAATGGCTTTCTGTGTTGCACTATCAGGTTATTTATCTATGGGGTTTTTTTTCCCTCACTCTCTTTCAGCACCAGATGCATGGCACAGACCACTCACCAAGTCCGTGTCTGTGTGTTGACATGGGGGGCATGGTGGACCACACTTTGTTGACTGGGTTGTAGCACTCCACCATGTTGGATGTCTTCAGTCCATCCCTCCCACCAACTACATACAGCTTGTTGTCTATTACCGCCACGCCAAACTGTAGCCTGCGTCCGTTCATGACTCCAACCTGGACCCAAGTGTTGGTCCGTAGGTCGTACTTCTCTATAGTGGTGGAGCCTACAACCAAAGCCATGGCATGGATTACACTTCAAATAAGATCTCTTGCTGTGTTTATCTACTGTATACCTGTATAGTAGGCACACCTTTGGTAGCATCCATCCCTCCTACAGCATAAAGTGCACCCACAGTGGACTTTCTGGGTTTGGTTCTAGGGCTCTGAAACATGGGACGTCGCTCCGGGAGAAGATGATACTTCATTGCTTCCATCAGTAGCTTTTGACATTCCAAATCATCAGAGAACATCTTGTTGTTTTCAAGATCTGCAAGGAGCTACATACAAGAAATCACATTACATGATAAGAATGAATGTACAAAATATAAAGATCCAGATATGTACAAATGTTCTGAAGGTTCAGTGTTAAGTCTGAGCAGCTAATATGTGAAACATTATAATCAGTAACAGAATGTAGCACAAAGGCCAGAGAGGATTCAAGTACTTCAGGGAAATAGATAATCTCATATAACACTGTTGTAAATTAGTTCTCATTCTCACTGTGAACAGCAAATGAGCTGTGATTTTAGTATCTCACTTCAAGAAAGTTAAGTCAAGACATTTTTATAAGACCCTTGTATGCAAACAAATTCTTATCTTTAGATTGGGTGAAAGCAAATAAAAAAAAGTCATAAAAACATTATTGTATAAACATTACTGTGTCAGTAATTACAATAGAGTGAACCTATATTTTCATAAAACTATTTGTATTTAGTGTACTCATATTTTGTATTAAAATTTTTCAAAGGCACTTTCCTTGACAACGGTCTTTTATTTTTCTTCTTTCGAAGAGTATTTTGGAAAATAACTTTCTTATGAGTCTTAAATGCCTGTATAATATTAAACCTACACTGAAAAATGATGTGGCTGCTTTTCCTGGAGCACATTTTTATTCTAGTTTAATCAAATATTTCATGACACAATTCATCTCCATGAATGAAAGATTATTGAAGTTGAACTGTCTGTAAGTGATGACGGCAGCACTGCTCTGCACATCCTCCCAGTTCCTACTACGTACAGTACCAGTTTTGACAAAATAAAGAATCTATAATTCATTTCTGCTGTTCATTTGCCTCACATCAAACATCTCTCAAACCAATGTGTGAACCAACTGATTTATTAGGTCAGATTTTCTATGTATTTTTCATTCATAAAATATGTATTTATTTGTTTGTTTGTTTGCTTTATTACTTCTTTCATATATTCACCATAAAGTGAAATATAAAATGAACATATGCATAATTAGTTTAGCAGAGTATCCTGTCTATAAAAACAAGGCAGCATTCATTTAAAAGCTGAGATATGTTCACACTTCTGATCTGCCAAAAGAATGATTTTCTGTGTTTGATGCTTATGTAAATTAGGATGGCAATACTTTATATTTACTGTGCAACACATTAGCTGCAGAGCTTAAACAATAACAATTCAAATCTATGCAAGCGATTTATAGCTTGGCAATGTACATAAAACCCACAGCTGCCATGATCTCATTTTATCACTGAGGAGACAATTCTTTTCCTTCAACCACTGACATAAATCAAATAAATGAAAGTCAGCATGTGAAGATATACTGGGCAGTTCTCTGTATTGACACTGACTCTTGTTATTTGATAAACTGTGTTAGTTGTTTTTCAAGCAAAAATGCTAAAAAATTCCCTGGTTCCAGCATCTGAACTGTGACAATTTGCTGCTTTTGTTGGTTTTATATGATAATAAAATTAATATCTCTGGATTTAGAAACTTTTACAGACAAAACAAGGCATCTTAATACATCATCTTAGGTTCTGGGGGCATTTTCCCCATTTCTTGACATTTTATAGACCCACCGGCTAAAAAAATGAAAAGTCACAACTACAAAATGGTGCATTGTAAATCCAGCAAGTAGCACCTTGCACTTAACAGTAAAAAAGGTCAAAAATGGCAGCTCTTGTTGATGGTGGGGATATTGGAGGCAAGGTGACAGTTGAGTTCTCTGCCACAAACTCAAGCAAAAGTACAGCATATTTTCCTAACTGTACCTTAATTTCAGCCACCACCTTCATCCCTTTATATATACCTCACCTGTGGAGGAAGAAGAGGCAGGCGGATGTAGGCGAGAAGCACGCCAAGGTCCTGCTGTCGATGCTGGACATCATACCGCACCCACATCATCAAAGCCTGGAAGATGGTTTCCTCATCAGGAACGTTAATGTCATCACTGGAGAGCAGCTTAACAATCTCAGCTGTGGGGAGCAGCAGGAACTCCTGGTTCTGAATGACCTCCAGGAAGTGTTCCTGGAATGTAGGGGACAGGAGACGTGGAGTAGTCAGATAATCATCATTCATTAGCCGAGGAGTACGCCTGGTGTAACGTGTGTGTGTATGTGTGTGTGTGTGTGTTTCTATACCTATTAGGGCCACATGGCACAAGGGCACAGTAAAGAAAAATGAAAGCAACAATATAGAGAATGCTAGTTTTGAAGTCTTTATCTACACAGTGAAATATGTACCACTTCTCAAAAGTCTGAATGAACAGATGAAACTGTCATATGTTTCACTTAGCTCATTAAATAAAATGATCCTCACAACAGCAGGCTACAAATCAATCTGGCATAAAACATCTCCAACAAAAAAAAAACATCACTTCTTGAGCTTATAACGCATTTTTGCTGCTGATCATACATGGCACCATTGATCCTTTATAAGACTTTTAATGAAAACAGAAAGGCACCATGGACCAAGATTAAAATCACAGCAATGCAGTGTCCAGCTCTAAGTTTTGTGGAAGCTGTTCTCTATTGCCTTTCTAAAGATTGATTTTCCATTTACTGGCAAGAAGCCCAGGCAATATTATAACACTGCATGGCTACCTCTTCAAGGACATTGTCTCTGGGCAGTTCCATTAGAGATGACGCTATATAAAACATCCTCCCTCCTCTATGCCTCTATGCTATGTCCAACTTTAAATCACAGGAAAGACACACAGTGCAGTCCTTGGCCATAATCACACCCCGTTTCCTTTTTACATGAGGCTGACCATTAATTATTAAGCTGCCAGTATAACTTTAACAAATCAAGTGCTCATTGTGAAATGAATGTTCAACAATTACAAAAAACAAGCGTGGTATTGATCATCGGCTTGAAACAAATTACAGTGCCATGGTCTGATCTTTTAAGAAAGCAGGCTTTAAGAGCTTAAGACAGACAGCCTTAATGAAATGAGGGACATCTATTGATCTGTTGTGGTAATGCTGAAGGAGAAACTCTAGCCGATCCTCAACATTGCTTTAGACCAATTATTTGTAATTACCAGTCCTGAACAACTGACAACAAATTTGAAAGTTCAACAAGAGTTTGTGTCATAACCATTTTAAAAGATCTGCTTTCAGATGCTGGCGAACACATTGGTGAGTAAACTGCTTGGAAAACAAGATCAGTGGGAGAGGATACTAATTGATTTAACTACTGCAAAAGAGTAATTGTGTAATAACAGTGTTTTAGCCAAGAGGAGGATGTTTAATCAGAGTGAGGCTGGGAGATTTACATTTCAAGAGCTTTGACCTACCATGTAATTTGCAGAGGCTAGCAAAAACAGACCGCTATATCTTGTTATTTTTGAAAAATTGGCTTAATTTACTAATTCTAAACACTGTTGCATTTATATAAATATTAACTAATTCTGTATATTGTTTTCTTGCTGTAAAGAAACGCCTCCTTGCCAAACAATAAAATATCACATTTTTATCTACTGGAAGATAAAAAGGGTAACTCTTTCATAAAGGAAAAGGATGTCAGAGGCGGATCTCAACTGCCATTCTCAACCAGGAAAAACAAGCTTATCAAAACAGAACTCGTTTCCACTTAGAACCCAGTGGATGGACTTTCAGGAAGCCCACAGTTCTCCCTGCTCATTACTGAAGTGATTGAACAGGACGTTGGCTCTCTTGTGCAGTTTGATGATTAGATTAACCTCCTGGTCCTGGATGGGGCCCATGTAAACACGCTGAGCAGATGTCTTTTAGGAGATAACGTCTGTCTGTCACTTCTGTGTGGCCAGCAAGATGTTATCTGACAAATAAGCACATGAATCTTAATCCATTGCAAATATTCCTCATGGAAATATATAAAAACTATATTTTCACAGGTCTAGCAGCACACTAACCAATGTGAAGAAAGGTGGTATCTCCTACTGACAGCCACACAACCAAATTTAATAAAGTGAAAGCATAAAGCTATTCCATTTCTATTCAGATGTGAATGTCACCCATTCCTCCAATAAAATTTGATGGCATAAATAACCAAGGCTCAAACAGTTCATTCCCTTACATATTATGATAAGTTATTTAAATAAACTATTCTCAACACAGGGGTTAGCCACAAAAATTCAAATTTGCTGTGTACAGGATATCTAGCGAAGATGTTACCTATAAATATTGTATTTACTGACTGAATTCACAAAATAATTATTATTACACAGAACTGATCTGAGGAAAACGTTGGATACGTGCTGGGGTATTTAAGCTACATTTTTAAATATTCTTGTTACTGTTATAGCTTTCATTACTACAGCTGCCCTTGTGTATTCATGCAGTGAAGAGTCACTTTGAAAGTGTAATCCCTTATCACAAAATGAATAATTTATCCCCCTCAGCCATTTAAATGGGGTATAGCTCTGCAGTGTTCATTCTCCTACCATGGTGTAGTTATGAGCCACATTGAGCAGGTCCACACAGCCCTGGGCATCTGCGAAGGAGCGTATTCCCAGGCAATTGGAGGGATGAAGCTGTTTCATCAGGAAGTTGCAGCAAACCTGAATAACTTGTGAAAGCTGAAGGAGGCAAGCTGCCGCCAATAAACTCTCAATGGTCTCCTCTTTCAGCTCAAGGACACCTGCAATGTCAGGACAAGCAATATACAGTTTTATGTCATGATCAGATGTAGCCACAGTGGCTTCGGTAACACAGTGGTGGAAGAAGTGCTGCAATCACCATTTAATTGAGTAAATGGGAACAAATGTTAGTAATAAAATACCAACAACAATAATAGTGATATTAAAGAATGGTTCCTCTTGTAAAATGCTTTCTTTCTTTTTACTTCCTGCAGCAAAATAAATCATCATATGATGTTTAATCTACTTTCCACTTCTAATTTTGTGTAAGTGAGTATTCTGATTCAAATGCATGGTAGGGGGTATTCAGTGGGCAATTTGCCAAGAAAAGCAACATAATTTTATGCTGAAGCCCTGGCCAGTCAGTCAGCCCAGTGATGAACAGCCATATTAATTCATTTTAATCGTGTTGGATTTTCAGATGTCTTATAACTGCTTACAAAGGCTAGTCAACTTCTTTATGAGCACTCACCGGTGTAGGCAAAATGAACCAGGGACCTGAGGGCCTCTGGATCCACTCCTTCCATCTTGATCTCCTCCTGCTTTGCCTCTCTCACATCGCTGGTGAACATGGCAGCAAAGTAGTCTGACACAGAACTCAAGACCAGTCTGCCATAAAGCAAACATGAGTTAATGTTCTTGCACTGTACATCGACTTACATGTCTGAGAGAGATCTATGTGTTTCATGCCATTAAATGATTTGCATCATAAGAAAGGCCATGTCTTTGCAGTATATGGTATCACCGTTATCATTATATCATCATCATTATATTATTGTATCAATGTTAGACATACGTATAACAAACAACAGGAGATAGTCAGTGTCAGACACATTTTCACCTACTGGAAATACTCTGTTTGTTTTAACGCACAGGAAGCGGGACATGACGTGAGCATGTAGCCAGTTTGTAATTAATTCTCTTCCCTTGTCTAACAGTTCTGGAACCGGCTCTTAATGACAGAGGTTCTTGGAACTCGTCATGGCTACAGTTGGATATTTTCCTTGTAGTCTTCACTGTAAATGAGCTTTTCTTCACCATCAGATGTCTTGTGCTGGTCACATGATATAACGTCATCAACACGCCCATAGCTTTGTGTAAATAGTCCAGACTATATACTGCTGTATTCTCACATGGGCTCATTTCAGGACTTTTTTACTAGGGAGCTGGCAGAGTAAAGTTCACTTAAGGTCAGGGTCGACTGACTCAGACAGTTGTTTTCTTACATACAGCTCCCCCAGGTAATGTCTAGAGAGTTTCAGGGTTCCAGTGCATGACTGAAAATGGCTTTACTGTTCCCCCACATCCCGTTTCATTCTACTTTGACAGTGCACAATGAATAAAATTAGCCTGCATGAATCACTGCTGCTAATAGCTCCAATGGTCAGATTTCTAATTATGCTGTCATTTGTCTAGCTGGTTGATTCATAAAGGAAAGGAGAGATCGTACTGTATGGCATTACAAGGAATTGAGATTGAGTGACACAGTCCAGCAATCTAATCTAATTCTAACTCTAGTATGTCTGTACATGTCCATGCTTTACTTTGTTGTGTCCTACGTATGAGCAAATATAAAGCCATGTTGAAACAGGCAGTCAGAGAACCACCCAACTAGGTCAGTCACTCGTGCATTTTCTCTCTCTGTGGAGCATTCTGCTTTCTGCTCATCACTGTGTCTGGATGGATTAATAAATTCTGGTGGATAGCCATACAAGCGCCAGCCCTCAGTGAACACAGTATTTTTTCAGAAATAAGGGGATATCATGTGATCATGTGATTCAGTTCAACCATTCAACAGAAGGTTGGATGCTCAAATATCGACACCTCAGTGTAGTCGATCACAGTGTTCTTCTGTGTATCAAATGTATTGTGGAAATAAATAAATAAAATAAAGAAAGGCCTAGGTGTAATTAGATCACTGCAGTGTACATTATTTACATGCAAGCCAGTGAACAGGAGTTTGCAATCGTTCCTGTCAAACTGTCACCTGAAAAACAGATGAATGTTGTTCTCCATTTAAAAGATTATTCAATTTCTCCTCAGATGAATTGAACTGACAAAATTTGTTTCAGCAAGCAAAATGTGGTCCAGACCAAAGCCTGAATATGCGCATAGACAACTTAATGAAGTGAATCCAGATGAGCTTCTGTATATCTTAACTAAAGCAGATGCAGGCATAATTAATAAAATCAAAGCAGACTGAAGCACAAACACCGACCTGTGAGCTGGTATCTTGTGATCCCCTGCTATCAAGAGGACATCGCACAGCTGCTTGTGCTGGAGGTAGGTCTCCATCTTACGGAAAGTCTGTTCTGCATGGTTTGTGGCCTGGAAAAACTCATCAGAGGAGGTGTTCATTCTGGAAAAGGTGTTCAGAGCCAACCTGCGGAAGACAGTCAAGGTGGTAGGAAGAGAAAAAAGTGGTACGATTAAAAAGCTGTTAAAACAGTTTGTGATAGCTACAGCATCTTTGCATCCTGTGCTTTGAATGCCTGTGTTTTCCCACTTTCTGAACACTCTGGCACTGCACCAAAACCCGTGTGCTCCTTCTAGATCAAGGCATAACCATTACATTAGGCATGTTGCATTAGGCTTGCCCTTTACCATTCCTTTTGGACTTACTGTAAATTAATAAGTAAATTTTAATTTAGGAACAGAATTAATTGAATGAATTAATGCAGGTCACCATTTCCTCTCCTAGTATAAAACAGACAAAAGAAATTAAAAATCTGTTCACTGCAAGATAAGCAATGAATTATTGAGGATACAAAGAGGTTATTTGGACACATGGCAGTCCTGAATCTTTTATTCCCTGTGGTGAATCTGCATCTTTCTTGCCACTCTAAGCTGAAATTAAAACTGTTATGGACTAAAATCCATACATAACTGGATAACTAAGCGCTTTAATCCAATGGGACAAGCAAGTGCCACAATCTTGGCAACAGCTTCCCACAAAGAATTTCCCTGTGCATGACTTTGTGTTCCAGCATATCGGTGCATGTGCACTTCCAAGAGACATGGACTTAACAAGTGAGCAAGTCTGTTCCTCACAGCATTGTGGTGAGGATGTCTCCGTCCCCACAGGCTGCTAGATTACATGCTGTTTTATAGGCATTCGAGTAATCCCTCAGACCCGTGGCAAATACTGCAGCCCAGTGATTTTGGTGTCCTTCACAGAGCAAGTCCACTCATTGACATTTAGGGTTGTTTGTTACGCTACATAAACAGGCCCAAGTTGGCTCTCTGAGGGATTTTGCTGTCATCTCATGGTATTTCTGCTGTGTAAAGCCTGATAATTGTTCTGAAAAAATGTGACTGCTATTTAAAGCAACGCTTTATGTCCCCAGTCATTACTACTCACACACTGATATGAAAGCATAGCATAAACTAGTAAAGCTGCAGATATGTCAATACAAATGAAGTGAAAACCCTGCAACGCCTGGCACCACAATGTATTGCCACATACTAAAACTGATATTGCAGGAAGGATGATTGCTCCTATTGATATCGCGATTAACACACCGTTATAAAGCCGAGTATTTGACTTTCTTCTCTTTGATTACCAAAAAAGCAACACTGTCCCTCTAGGACATGTCTATATTGTACTGCAGTACCCTATAGTCTAATCTTTATTGAGAGACTTATGCTAAATGGAAGAGTAATTTATTGTTGTGTCACTATAATTCCCCACTGACTCTGGGGTCTTGGAGAGGAACACCAAACAAGACTGAATAAGCAATGAGGCCATAAAACTGAGATGCATTGCCTTTGTATTGGCTCCAAGGCATGCTGTAAGGATTTTTCATGCCTACCAATCTCTCCGACACTAATTGCTTTGGTATCACATTCTAGGGAGCAGTAAATTTCTCTGAGGTGTGTATTTCGCTTTCAGCAGTGGGCTGGATCATCAGAGGTATAGCCCAATTTTATTGAGGCAGTAAAGCCCCAGAACACCTTACTCCAGAGAAACTGATGCAGGGACAATGCTATACATCGCATATTACTAAGCAATTCAAAGACAGTCACAGAACCTAAGAGGGCCTATGGATTTCTTGTGTGGTCTGCAATTTCAATGTACCTATGAGAACTCTGAGAAGGTAAATTAGCTAACAAAATACAATAAAATAAACCACAACAGAACAGAAGAGGGGTCTGGGTTTTATTTCCCACCCTAACCTATCCTACACATCAGATTTCCTTCAGTGAGCACATATTACCTGAAGTCTTGTCACTTGCTCTTCACACCTTCCCAAATCTAACACATCACACTGTGACTAATTGGATCTGACAAAACAATGCATATGCAGGAGAAGCAGAGGCTATGCAGTTTTCTCCTCCCATGTTGTCAAGACAAGGAGCCTATGTTAAGGCTGTGCTATAGGAACTCCAAGTGTTATTACAGTACTAATATAAGGAAACACTCACTCATTGATAATAACAATAATATATTATTATGCTCCTTCCTCTTTTCTGTCTGCTGTAATCAAGTTCTCACTGTACTGACACTGCCCTCCTAGGTGACCGGTTAGATGAATGAGGATGTGCCTTCTTCAGACCAGATTAACCCCTTGCTATAAAAGTTTTGAGTCAAACGTGTTGCTGAGAATCTCTGTCTTATTCTGACTAGTGTCAGCACCATCCTGTTACAAAAAGGAAGGTCATATCTGCCTGGGCCATATAGGAAATGTCTCTTTCTAAATGGATTATTGTCCCTGAAGACCACTGAGTAGCTTGGATTGAGCTGAGAATCCAAAACTGCCACAAAGCCTCATCGAGCATGTGTCCAGCCTACTGTATATATTTCTCTGCACTTTGACAGTCGATAAACTGCCATTCGGCTTTGTGTACAGATATAGACACTGACTGTAATAACTTGATACTAACAGTGAGATGATAATTCTTAGCAGAAATAGATTTTTCTTTCTGCACTTTCCCCACTTCACTGAGGCTCACAGCAGACATTCTTCCTCTGATGCCATTATTATGCTGAACATACCTGCTTAATATTGACAATAACAGAAGAAACATAGCTGCATACAGGCACCATGTCTTTTGAAATCTGCTCCAAATGTGGCCGTTCGGGCCCCCATATGTTAGAGAGTGCAGTAGAAAATTACCACAGCTATTAACAAAAATGAAATATTGCCTTCATATACTGTAGCTTTTCCCCTCAGCTTTTACCAAAACCGCACACTCAGTTAAGAAGAACAGTGGTAGAGAGGTTTATGTTCAGCATATTGTCTGCAAACAGATAATGAATACCTCAGGTGGGTTACCACTAGCTATAATTTCTGTTTTGAATATTAATGTTGATAAATCCTGCACAGTGGCAATGAAAAATCACCAGTTAAAATATCTCTTAGTTTAAAAATGAAATTTTACATAACTCACTTGTACACATACAGTAATTAAGATACAATATCTGTTTGAGAGGAATGATGTGCCATGAGATATATTGTATTTTGAAACAGAGGTTTAACATTTTATGTGGTTTAGTATGACATATTAATAATGGAACTGTCATAAAAGGGTGCGGGTATTGCAACTTCTAATTCCATATTGAGATTTTCAGTCTTTGTTCATAGATTAGTTGCGATTACAATGCTGAGCTGGGCATTCTAATACTGAGGAATCTGGTGTGAGCTCTGTGTGTGTGTGTGTGTATGTGTGTTGGGAGTGTCATGCAAGTGAAAAATGTGCAGAGCCAGGCAGAAAGCTGCTCTGCTGATGCAGGTTAACTTGCATTGTGTATGAGACCGTCATTGTTCCTTTGTCTGTAATTTATTTAAATCTGATTTTAGTGGGTAAACAGTTTAATCTACATTACAGTGGCAGGTCCTGGCATGCATGTGGTCAGCGGGATATAAGATATTTATAAAGTTACATATTTAGATTCCATAAACATTTGCAGCCTACCTAGTTTGGTGGGTGTAAAACCTTATATTAAAACTTAAAGGTAAGTCCTAGGGGACCCAAGAACTAGGTGAATTTTTTTGACAAAAATTTAAAATTATGATATATTATTCTAACTGTTCATATTATAATAAACCTACTGGATAGTTTTTAAAATACCTTTCTGCAGTTTTCACTGATCACTGTTGTCTATGCCTCCATGATTCATCTTCTTGCAAATTACTGGGTGTGAGTGCCCCAGGACACTTGCTGAACTAAGTCATGGCCCATGCTAATGGTACCGATGTAAAATTTGTAGAATGTTAGTATTATTTTATATGAATTAAATCCAGTTTGGGGAAAACCTGACAGATCCACATTTGAACAGAAATGAAGGAATGTGCCCAGCATATAACGCTGCTCTATCGTCTCTCTGCAAAAGCACAAAGAGGGGCTAAACTGAATATTTGGTTTCCATCTGAGATGGCCCTATAGCATAAAGAATTCTGATTCAAAGAACGCTCAAATCAATTATAGGCGAACACACAATTTCCTAATTTTGAGGATGTCATTTTGAGATTACCACAGGTGCATTTTACAATTTACGGCATCTTACGGATGCCTCCCCCGGACATGTCTCACAAAGGCAACACCCTATAAGCCTTGTGGTGTTATGAGATGTAATAAATATCTAAATTACTGCTATTGACAGAGGGAGAGATGATGGTATTTGTTTTCCAAGGTGGTGGACAGGCAATTGAGATATCATTCAAACTAACAACTCACTGATTCAAGTCTTTGTTAGTGTTTATGTGGGAGAGGTCAGGGTTTCCATTCCTCTGAGGTCAACTTCTGTCATATAAACTCTGCCAATGATAGGAAGAGGTTACTTGGATGAGGATAAGAACAGAACAAATATATAACTCACTGAAGTGCAGGAAACAAGGTATTATATCCTACTTACCTCCCACTATGTTTGACTTAACTCTAGATACATACCAGTCAATAAGATGAGAGAAAGAAATATTAAAGATGAGAAAAAGTAACAGAACAATAATAATTGTACCACCACCACATAAGCGTCACTGACCTTTTGAATTATCTTCAGTAATAATAACACTAACACAAGCTTTGAAAATTTTATTGACTGCATTAGAAACAATGTAAAACTCTAGACTGGTAAACTAAAGTGAACATATACATTTAGGTGTTAAATGTAGGATTTATTCTTTATAAGAACATTCAAAATATTCATATATCTCAAAATTTTGAATCTAGCAGAATTCTAAATGGGTGCTTTAACCGTTTATTCTAATAAGGTACATACAGTATGTTATCATGAGCTGTTTTCATTGACTTTGCCAGTTTGACAAGCTTAAACGTTAATGTCAGAAGTGAGAAACCAGGTCAGCAAAAAAAGAAGGGAAGAAACTGATGGGATGGGTTTTGTTGTAGAGAGTGTTTGAATTAAGCTAATCAATATATCACAAAATAAAGAAAACATTTTCAAACTACAGAGAAATAGCTAAAACTTTTGTATCACACCCAGGAGGAGTCATTTCTATATTCAGCCTGAGGGATTGTGATAAATTATATGTCAAGGATTTATGATGTGAGACGTAATAGAGCCACCCAGCTGGTGGAGTGAATAAATGTGCATATGTCAGCGACATCCACACATCTGCTTAGGTGACAATGATCATGAAAGCCACATAGTTACTGGCCTAATTCGTTGTGCAAATTTACAGATGCAGAGCTGGTCCAAAGGTCAATTCTAGCAAATAGTCCATCTCAGTTTCCAAATGACTGCCCTTTGATTAAAAGGGGCATCACACAACATGCAACTGTTTTAAACTGCTCATGTCATACAAATTTTTGCTGCCTTTCTTGCTATACAAGAAACTGAATGATCATAAAATGCACAGATTTTTAATTTAATAATTATATAAGCAGCTGCTGACAATCTGATTAATTTATCTCAATCTGGAAGTGATTGAACTGTCTGCCAATATTCCTTATGATACCCGATGTTTAGAACTTTACTTATTATGTACACTGTTAGCCCCAGTTTGACTAAGAAAAAAGAATCAAACCTATGTTTAAATGTTTAAATCAAATGTAATTGTTGATCATCAAATTCACAAATGGATATCATTAGAATCAAGTACAACCAAGCCAATACATTTTGTGATCCAACAGAGCAGAATCATTTTAATAATTCAATATCATTGTCAAAATATGATGGCTATGCTGTATTTGACACCACCACCGTGAACTCATGTGAGCCAGGGAGTTACATATTTTTGCTGTAAGGCACATCTTTTATGAATGCACTTTTCCCACAGAGGGACCCCGAAGCATGATCAGCTGCCAATTATAACAACACGAAGAGCAGAACATTGAGCTGATTCAAAATCTGAACCTTAAATCAGAATAATACATGATTTGTTCACGGAAACCAGCCATCCACTGCTTCTGGCAATTATTAAATACACATTGGCACAGTTTGGGCTGAGAGTATGTGGTGTATTTACAATGATTTGTTTAATCATTGTGAGCTCTTTGCAAAACAAGGGACAGGTTCACTTTCATCACCAGGTGCATGGAACAAAAGCACGCAGGAATCAGAAAAGCTTAAGAACTAATCACCTTAGAATGTTGCAGACAAGATAAATGGAAACTTGGTCTTTTCATCTTTTATGTGAGGTGCTTTTACTGTTCAGCTAAACAGCACACACACACACACACACATACACACACAACCTGTTTACTTCCTGGAAGAAGATGGGGGGAACACAACCAGGGGTGGGATTTATAGCTGGAAATAAAATAATTCTATATAAACTCTGAGAGTTTATATTCAAGATGTGTAAAATGATTTTTGTGGAAAACAAATAAAACAACCTTTGCTAGCCACAAGGTATGATGGCTTTTGGCTTATAAAGTGGGTTTAGTGGGAGTCTGGATAATGCATGTGATTGCACTACTTCCTCGTTTTATAGGTCCTGTAGGTGATCTAATGGCCCTTTCCTGCTATCCAATTTTAACTCTGAAAGAATGCATTAGTGTGCGGTGTAAAAATTAAATATGCAAAGGAATCTGGCAAAGGCTTACTTCACATATAGTCTGGCTCACAACAGAGACAGGGGAGCAGAAAAAGCCTTGGCTTTTGGTTCACTGAATAATTAAAAGGATGGTTTATTGGTTTATATTGCTGAACATGCTGTGGACAATGACAGTGAGCTGTCAGCAGGTGAGCAACAGTGGCAGCTGGCTAGCCTGAGCAAACTGAAAAATGATAGCTGTGCAGATAAATTCAGTCTTAGCACAATTAAAGAACCGACTTGCAGTATGGTACTGCAAATAACGACCAAAGTTAAAATGTTGTGGAAACTCATCTTATATGAATGCATTTAGTCTCAGAAATGCTGAAAACAGACTTAAGTATTTAGTCTGTTTTGCATTAAGCAAGCCACATTTATTGTTTGAAGAAGGGTTCTTCTCATCTTCCTGACCACACAACAAAACATTACTTTTTCATCCTGCTTCAAGCATCAGACATTTTCTTTAAAATGCTGATTTTATTTAGCAAATCTACTTTCACTATGAAACGTGAGAGAACCATGTATTCCCAAAATATGATTCCATAATCTAGTTTGTGCTAATTGAGTATTTAATATACAAAGTGATGTGCTGCCATATAATCATTCTGTGTCTCCTAACGCCTAATAACAGTCATACCTCTCTCTGGCCTCCACCTCTGTAGGTTTCTCTGCACTGCTCTTCACATCTTCCTGGCCAGTGTTGGGGTCCTCTTTCCTTGTGGTACTAGGTGAAGAACTGCTCTTTGAAGAGTCCTCATTGACTTGGAGACCTTGGATGGTGTTCTGTTGATGATGCCATGATTGATGGCCCGCTCTGACAACAGGTGTGGGCCCTGACATCGGTGCCAAGATGCTGTGAACTGGGCTGTTGTTCTTCCGTAGTCCTCCAACACCTCTTTCCCGTGAGTGACTTTTCAGCCGACCCTGAACAGGCGTCCCCCTGTGGTCCAGGCCATCCTGTTGGATGTAGCCTCCTACCCCACTGACGCCACCACCTCCACCACCAGCAGAACCTTGGGATGAATGACTGAACCAGCGCCAGCGCAGCCTGAGGATCTGCTTCACGTCAAATTCCTTCTTCCCCGACACAGACATCCTCCTCTGGGTTTGGAGACGAAGGTAATGGTACGGTGAGTCCCCAAAAACATGGAGAGCAGAGAAGAGAAGAGCCTTGATTTCAGTTCTCACTGACTACACTGTGCCTCTTCTCTACCGTTATTGTCTCACTACTATTATGATCACCCCCTCCTCCACTATCACTCCTCTGTTGTTCTTTTGGTGGAGATGGAAAGCAGTCCTCTGCAGCTTTTGTTCCTGTGCCTGAGACTACTACCCTCCCTCCAACTCTCCCTTTCGGTTCTTTCTCTCT